TGTTTGGCAAAAAATGGGGGATTCGTCCCGAAAATACCCAATGAATGTACACGGCAATTGTACGACCAATTCTCACGTATGGTGCTGTCGTATGGTGGCCGGCTCTAAACAAGAGCTATAATATCGACAAACTTAACAGAATTCAGAGAACGGCATGTGTAGGCATCACAGGAGCTTTTAGGACGACTCCCTCGGACGCCCTAAACGTGATGCTACATTTGCTACCTATTGATCTTCACATTAAAAACATAGTTTGTAATAGCGCTGTAAGACTTAAAGTAACAGGCGTATGGTTGGAACGAACATGTGGACATAGTCGGATTCTAGGTACAGTTCCAAATTGTCTGTATAGGATGACATCGGATTTTATGAATCCGTGTATAGACTTCGTAAGGAACTTTCAGACAATATTCCCTTCAAGAAATGAGTGGAAAAGGAAAAATTTCGAAGCAAATTACGATATCTCAATATATACAGATGGCTCGAAAATGAGCGGTGGGGCAGGAGCAGGAATCTTCGCACCATCTAAAAATATAAATATCTCTCTTAGGATACCTAATGAAGCTACGGTTTTTCAGGCTGAAATCCTAGCAATAAAAGAAACCTGTCGGCAAATTGCAAGCCACATCGAGAACAGATGTAGTGTTGCTATTTTTATTGACAGCCAGGCAGCAATTAAAGCTCTTGAATCCTTTATAACAAAATCAAAAATAGTAAAAGAATGTAGAGAAGCAATCGACGAGCTAAATCGGTTGGCCGATATCACACTCATCTGGGTTCCTGGGCATAGGAACATCGTAGGGAATGAGAAAGCTGATAATTTAGCCCGCTCTGGTGCCTCCCTAGATGCGTCACTGGCGGTATCAGTCTATATTACCCTGGAGACCATCAAAAGAAGTACCTTTCTTTACTTTCTGCAACTCGCCAATAACAGATGGAAAGCACTAAGGTCATGTGCAACTTCCAGGTTAACGTGGCCCACTTATAATAAAAATAAATCTCTGGAACTCATCAAAAAAGATCGCGTAAACACTGCAAGGCTTATTGCGGTTCTTACTGGTCATTGGTGGTTAGGAACTCACGCAGAGAAACTGCGTATTTCCCATAACTCTCACTGCAGAAGTTGTGGAAACCCGCGGGAGAAAGAAACAATAATACATTTTCTCTGTGAATGCCCAGCTCTAGCATCCAGAAGATATAGGTTTTTAGGAAAATACTTTTGTGATAGTTTATCAGACTGCTCAATGGTAAGGATGAAAGACCTGTTAAATTACCTAAATTCGGTGGGATGGATTTAGTCTCTACTCTTCTATACTAGGGTTCTTGCGAGGAATGTGGTAACAAAACGGCGAAAAATCGCTAATTGAGGTACATTTGAAGTTATCTTATGACCTGCCACTGCAACCAACCAACATAAGTGCATTGCAAAAAATCCCAAGGTAATTTCAATTTACTTTACCTCAATTTACTCGAACTCGCACACGGCCTAAATAAAACTTAATTTCCATGGGTAAATTTGAGATAAAATGGTGAATGAAAATCAGTTTGTTTACAGTTTCGACTAGAGATGTGACAGATATCAGTTTCGCTGATAATACTATGTTCAGACAGTCAAATTTCCTTAATTTCGTTAAAGTGAGATTAAGTTCATTTCATACTGCCCAAATTAAGGAATTCATATGTTTTTTGTTTACAAATCAAATGTTAAAAATTATATACGCCAAACACCATTTATATCTGGGAAATTTTAAAAGTTGATTATTATAACTATAAAGGATGGCATTTAGTAGTTTTGTTAGCTTTAGTGGATTTCAGGTATATGAATTATTATTTTTCACTTTATTTTAAATTAATAACAGTTACGGTTTTTCTCTATATTCATATTTAAAAATTTGCACTACTTTTAAAATACTTTCCCGGTTTTTTTAAAATCAACTGTCACTGACATTTATTTAAAAAATATATCACTATTTCGGTGTCTCGATTTTATCTTTTGCTAAAAATTTATCTTACGCATAGTTACATTTGAAGTTTCAGCCTTCATTTCAACGAAATTAAGGCCATTTTCTTTAACAGCTCTTAATTTCAGGATAATCTCTTTTCTCTCACAAAATATCTACAGTGTTATAAATTAATCTCGAGTATTGTATACATTGTGACCGAAAGGTTTTCGGAAGTTCTCATTTAAAATTCGCGCGCTGTATATTTTTCGATATTTTAAGTTTATGTAGTTTGGCAGCACTTTCCTTAATTACTATGCCAAAAATGAGCGCGATCTGTCAGACAGTTCGTTTACGGCAGCTGTTGAAACCAGTTCACCTCAGTAGTGCGTTGCGAAAAAACAATGGAAAAAAATATTGAACAAAGAGTTTGCATCAAATTTTGTGTTTCGAACGAAATTTCGTGTGCAGAATCGTTGCGAATGCTACAAAAGGCTTATGGGTAATCAGTTTTATCGAAAACTCAAGTTTATGAGTGGTACAAAGCCTTTCAGGACGGTCGTACGACCGTCGAAGACATGCCGCGTTCTGGACGACCTTCGGCCTCTACCACCGACGAAAACATTGAAAAGGCAAAGGAAATCGTGTTCCAAAATCCTCATGTGAGTGTTAGAGAGATAGCACGAGAGCTAGGCATCGGTCGTGAGAGCTATCCGCCGTAAACGGCCTCAATTGTGGAAGGATAATTCATGGATTTTTCATGACGATAATGCTCCCTCGCACCGAGCCAACATTATCAACGATTTTAAGGCCAAACATTCAATAAATACCATCGAACAGCCACCGTATTCACCTGATCTTGCACCGTGTGACTTTTTCCTGTTTCCCAAACTCAAATTACCACTCAGAGGAACGCGTTTTGAATCCATAGAAGACGAAAAACAGAATTCGCAGAGGGAACTCAAAGCCATACCGGAAAGCGCCAATAAAAAATGTTTTGATGATTGGAAGAAACGTTGGCATTTGTGTATCGCTTCTAATGGAGCATATTTTGAAGGAGATAAAATAAATATTGATGAAGATTAAGAATTTTGCGTTTGTACATTGTGACCGGAAACTTTTCGGTCACAATGTAAATTTACCAATCGAAAATAAAAATTGTACTAAAGCTGAATCTCGCTTAAAAAGTTACCCCAGATTCGAAAACGCCACTAGATTGTACAAAATATATTCAGATAATTTAAAGTTAATCTTTAAGAATATTTATAACTTAAATAACTTTTTTTGTTTTTTACACACTCCTTTTTGAAAATAAAAATAATTAATTATCAATAAGAACAAAAAAAGATATTATTTATAGTTATAGTTATAACGTGTAGCCATAATATACATGGAAGTATTTTTTGAAATACACGGCGGTTTTTTACAGAGTTTCGAACCGGAACAGAACCGAACCGAAAAAAAACCCATATTTTTTTCGGAGCCCAATATTTTAGGCTAAAGATGGAAAATATGCATTTAACTTTTTGCACAGATCCTGGCCCGTAGTTAGAATTGTGCAGTCGTCTGCATAGGTAGTAACTCTGACTCCCTCAGAAGGGTCTGGGAGTTTAGACATGTATAAATTGAAGAGAATCTGTGAAAATACGCTGCCTTGGGAAACACACCTTCCTTCAATTTCCTAGTATTACACATTTTATCGCTAAAGTCAACAAAGGATGATCTGCTGTAAGATAGTTACACAGGCATCTCTTAGTTGAGTCAGGGATAGATGTTTCAGGCAAATCATTTAACACGGTATTTTGGAAAACTGTGTCAAATGCTTTTGTAAGATCAAGGGCAATAAGCACCGTGCGTTCGGAAGTATAACTTAACTGAACCTAATTTTTCTCTTGTGCTTCTTATTTGTTTGTAATATAATTCTAACATTATATGTAATATTTATAACGAATGATAGTTAGCTTATATCGAAATTTAAATACGAAAATATATTTATATATATGTTTTATTTATTATATATATGTTCCAAAAAGCATAATTAAATTTCATACAATCGCTTAAACTAAAATACAGTTTGATTTTTATAATACTTTAAATTTATTGATAATTTTTAATTTACTTTTTTACAGAAAATGCAACAATATTTAAATTCAAGTAGGTATGTTTTACATGTTCATATGGCATATATTGACTTGTGTATATAATAAACTTTAGTATATAAATATAACTTACACTTTTTAAATATTTAAGTTCAATAAAAATAAAAAATTTATCAAAAATACTTTTAACTAACTTTTAGTTTTGATATTTTCGGTGAAAATCGATATAACTATCGACATCAATTGAAATATTAGTTAATACAAAAGAGTTCTATACATTAAAGTGTACTGAATAGTTTACGACATGAAAACAGAAAGAAAAAATTCAAAATAACGTTAGTAAATACAATTAAAAATTTTTGGAATTATTTATCTAAGATTTATTTGATATACTATTTGTAGCATTACAAAAGTTATGATATATGCTCTTTAACTCTATACAATTAATTTTGATTGACATGCATAGAGTATATAGACATTGAATCGATGAAGCTACAGGTCGATTGAATACTAATATATTGAATAATAAAAGATAAATATTTAAAAATAAATTATAATTTTTATTATTGCTTAAAGAAAAACATTTGTGGTCAACACATATAGATATAATATCAGGTTCTTCATAATTATTACTTAGCATGCTAAATTCGTGCTAAATTGTTAAAGTGTGAAATTTGTGTATATATTTTATATAAATTCTCAATATTTGGTAAAGCCTGCACTGTGGTATGTTAATTTGCTAAATGTAAAATTCAAACTGTTGAAACAGCTATCACCGCTTTATTTACATGTCATTTTATTTACTTTTAAAATATACAAATAAATCCCACTGAACTTTACTCTATAGCAATTTAGCATTTTAACATTTTAGCACGAGTTTGGCACACTAAATAAAATATGAAGAGGTCTATTGTTTTGAAAAAACTATAATATTGAAAATCTAAAACTTAGAATAACAAATAATAATCATTTTATCTGTGCACTACAAAATTTCAAATAACTCTTAGAACAAAGTAATTCTGAAGTAATAATACATATACATATAGTTCAAATGATAGAAATAAACATAAATTTGTGTTCGACATTTAGACATTGCAAATTTTGGTACATTTTTAAAGTTCGAAAATTGCTTTTGTTACAACTTACATATATAAACAGCACTTTAAGGGATTTTTGGAGTAGTTTTTTTTTTTGGAATTTTACAAAAATACAGTTTATATTTTTTTAAATATTTCCATTTTCATAAATGTTTTGTTTTAAATCAATCACTTAAATCAATCACTTATTCCCAATCCTTTTTAATTTCAAAACACCAATCCCATTTTAGATGAATATGTTTGTCATCATCCGTAAAAACTGATGAGACAGTATAAGTACCGCGTGCCAATAGACCTGAAGGTGCTTCCTCTGCTGCAGTTAAGTAGAATTGTATTTCTTTTTTAGGTGGATAGGAACCGACCATATGTGTTATTTTATCAACTAATGAAAGAAATGATATAAATATATTATTGCAGAATTAAAATTATTATTTAGTTGGCAAAATTTTACGAAACTGAGGTTGGCTTACCAACAGCTTCTTGTTTGAAGATAAATTTCGTAAATTTTTTTTTGATAAGTGAAATCATAATCCCAATTTTTGTTTTTGAAAGCATAGTTCAAAACAAATTAAAAAAAGTTTTTATTAATATTTACAAATCTTTTTTAAAAAGTTTATAATTCACTTTAAAATGTTGAATGAATTATGTATATAAAAAGTGAAATGATAAATTAACTTGCAAAAGTTTTAAACATTTTCTAGTTTTAGTAAGTAATTTAAATTTCTTTATTTCAAATTTAATTTTAATACTATTATGTATTAATCATTATGTATTAATGCAGTTGAAAAGTTTTAAAATGTAAATAATGAACTAAAAGCATTTAACCGATATATTACTCACCTGGCATGCCCATTCGATAAGTCTTTTGTACATATTTAAGGCCATGAACGATTTCCCTTTGCACAATGAAATCAATGCGTACCTTATATTGTACGCCTTCTTGTATTACAAATACCTATAATGATAATCATATTTTCAAAAAATAAAAAATATATTAAATATAATATAGCTTAAATTGAGGTCCTATGACCCAGAAGGAGTACAGGACACCAGTAGTATAACTCAGTAGTATATAATAGAAAAAAATTATATTCTGCATTATAGAAACTTTAGTATCTTTTACACAAGTTTAATAATAAATAAAATTTTGATACTCCTCAGTGAAAAAGTATGTGAGGTGCTAACTAAAACTAGCTTTTTCGCTTTATCGCTCGCCCCTCCCAACAATATAAATTCTAGCGGGTATTTGTTAAATATTTCTGGTCTAATCTCTACGGATTTAAATACAAAATTTTGTTTTTGGGCGTAACGTAAATGCTTAAGTATAACTAAAAATTTAAATTATAAATATAAGTCAATAATTGTAGTAGAATTGTAGACAAAACACAGTATTTACATATTTATGTACAATATAAGGACCAAGTCGAAAATATCAAACTTAGTGATTTTATTTGGAGAGAGTATAAAAATAATATTTTCACTCTTCTTCACTCATTAATAATGAATTTCATAAGTTCTTATTCCATTTGTAAACGAAATGAGCATAGCATTCTTCTTGCAGTCAATAAGTATCAAGTTTGGAATTAAAATATATATATTATTACTTTTTTTTATTTGTTTTAACAAATTTTGCATGATTAGATTGAAAAAAATAGATAATTATTTCAAGAACTAAAAGACTTTTTCTTTATTTAGACGGACGTCTATTTGAAGGTAGGATATATAAAAAATATATATGGTAACTACAGATTCACTACTTTGATTCAAGCACAATAAATATAATATTGTAATAAATTATTAAATTTGATTTTTAAATTCAATTTACATGAAAAAATAGTTTTTTAAATAATAGTCAAACAAATTAATTGAGTTTTTGGCAATTATTATTATTATTGAAGCCCCGCCACTTTTTGCAAGTTTGTCTGCCATTTCACTGCCTTGGATACCAGCATGCCCCGCAATTTATATTAAATGTATCTGCTTTTTCCAGCCGAATATGTTCAACTTATGAATGCACTCCCATACCAGTTTGGATGTTACCTGGTAGGATATGAGTGTCATTATAGCTGTCTGGGTATCAGTCAGTATTTCGATTTTACGATTCCGGTAGTTTCTGGTTCAGTTTCTGGGATTTGTGTAGTCAAAGTATACAATTTATCACTGTTGGTTCTAAGACCCGTCATCTTGTTTGTAATTACTCTTAGAGCAGCCCTCTTCGCCTGTGATTATTTTGGTAATACTCTTATATTTAATTATTCATAAATAACTTTTAAGACTGCAAATAACAGAGATTAAATTTCACTTGTCAACTCTTGTAACCTGTTAAAACTCAATTATTGATATATTGTTGTTTCACTACTATTAAAAACTATTCTGTCATAATAATTGACTTTAAAAATCAAATTTATTAACTTATATTAATATTATTAAAGGTCAAAACATCAACATATAGTTATAAAAAAATTAAAAAGTTTTTGTTACCTGCTTTTTCAATTGACTTAGATCTCCTGATAAATCCAATTCCATATCATTACGTCCTTCCACAACCAAAGCTAATTTTTTAACAATAACTTTACGAGAATCATTTGGATCTAAAATTTATTTTATTCAATTATACAATTTGAATCAAATCTAAAAATTACAAAACATACCAACAATAATTTTTTCAACCTGCGCTTCACCCAATAAAGCTTCTTTATACCGCCTTAAGCTTTCATCTTCTTGATCAGCTGCCATTATCTCCTCAATAGTCTTCTGTGGCGGTGGTTGATAGTTAGCATCATGTATATCCTCATCATGTATATTAACATCGTGGGTTTCCGCCGACATTTTTTAAAAAATTAAATGCAAAAGGTGGTATTCAAAATAAACAGACTGAAATGAAAAACATGCCAATCACGTTTAATTTTTTCTGATATAAGAAATATTATATGTTTTGTTAATATTAGTTAGTATATCTGCTTTGGGTAGAATTGGAGTCGCTTATGCTATACAAACATACGATATGTCAATATATATTTCAACAATTCAGATTCTATTAATCTGAATTGTTAATCTGAATTGTATTAAACATCGCATAACGATGTTTTAAGACCTTAAGAGCTGATAAATTTAAAATTTTGCTGTGACTGCTCATGCCATTTACGGTTTATGATCTGGATTCATTTTTGGACGTATTGATTGCTCTTGGTCAGCATAGAGACCGCAACATGAATTTAATTATTTGTAAATACTTAATGCAATGTTTCTTATTCGTGCAGTTATGTACAGCATCATCTTTAGAATGATTCTCTAATTTATTCGATTTGACAACCAAAATACAGTGCAAAATTTATTTAAATAAATAGACAAAGTTACACCAATAAAACATATTTAAACAATGCTTAATAAAAAATTTATGGCATCGAGTGTAAGACTATTGACGAGCAAGTGTTTCTAATTAAATGTGGCACTACCACCGTCGGGTCTATAGTGCCCGCTTCTAGGTTTAGAGTAGAACTCTAAGCCTTGTTGCGTCAATAAGAAGTAGTATAGAACCTACATTACAGAGTTTTATTGCTTCTTCCGTAAGAATATACATTTCCAAGAGTCTATTTCATATGTGCATTATTGCAGGACATACTAACAGCACATATGTGGCCGACTCCTCATTCTGTACACAGAATCTACAGTTTGCATCCATAAGTATACCCAGTCTAGTAAGGTGGTATTTTAGTTCACAGTGTCCTGTTAGAATTCCTGTGATGATTCTAAATTTTTCTTTTGACAGGTCCATACAATCCTGATATCTCTTATCGTTTAAGGTAACATTAAATGATTTGGATTGTTTTAATATAAATTCAACTTTTTAAATAAATTTTAATAAGAAATATTTTACTACCAGTCATCAATTAAATTAAGTTTTAAGTTTTAAAATATTTTCAGTTATTTGAAGAGAATCCACATAACTTTTTTTAAATAATTGTAATTGTTTGCTCTCTATCTACACAATTTATCAATAAAACTGTTCGAAGACCCATATATTTGTGTATAATTTTCTTTTTTTCCACATAATTAAATTTTTTTCTGTATACGCTTTAGTCAAAATGTATTTTTATATTTCAGAATCATTCAGAATCAAATGGGAAATACATATGTATATGGTTGTATAATAAGAATAGGGATTTATTCAGTACCCAAAATTATTTCTCTATTAGATTGTAGCATTTAAAAACATTAAATAAATGCATTTAAAATATTATTGATTCTCTATATATTTGATTAGATTATTGTAGTTCTTCTAAGGAACCTCAACTTCAATGGAACCTATTGTCCTATAGCGCATATAAAATTCCAAGGATTTAAAATCATTTCGTGCATTTAACTAAACCGTATTTTATTTTTAGAAAGTATTTAATCATATTTGTGTTAAATATGATAAATCATATGTATATATGATTAAATTTTTAAGACGATATCGAAAAATTAAAGACTCTTCTATTGCCTAAGGCAATAGAGATAAGGGACAAAGTATTTATTTTTAAATATTTATTTGCTGCATATGATTACTAAATGAATAGACGCTACGACTCTGCAGCGTTTAAATTGTATTGATTTAATTATTTACGTCTGAATGGATAAATGCCTCTCATTCACCCGCGCACAAGAATACGATGGACCGTAGTGCACTTTTATGTTTTTTTTTTTAATGTTTACATTTTTCTTTCAATGTTAACAATTTTTAAGCTTTTTTGTTTATAAGAATAATTGTAACGAATTAGAAAAAATAAAATATGTGTAAGAATTTTTTTATTTTTCAATAAAATTTCACAATATTTTCGTTTTATGTTTAAAAAAAAAAAATAATAATTCTATTAAAATTATTTTTAGTATATAACTATTGTTTATGTTTAAAAAAAACAATTCTATTAAAAATATTTTTAGTACATAACTATTGTTTATGTTAAAAAAACAATTCTATTAAAAATATTTTTAGTTCATAACTATTGTTTATGTTAAAAAATAACAATTCTATTAAGAATACTTTTAGAACATAACTATTGTTTATTTAAAAAAAAACAATTCTATTAAAAATATTTTTAGTACATAACTATTGTTTATGTTAAAAAAACAATTCTATTAAAAATATTTTTAGTACATAACTATTGATTATGTTTAAAAACAACAATTCTATTAAAAATATTTTTAGTACATAACTATTGTTTATGTTTAAAAATATTTTTAGTACATAACTATTGTTTATGTTAAAAAATAACAATTCTATTAAGAATACTTTTAGAACATAACTATTGTTTATTTAAAAAAAACAATTCTATTAAAAATATTTTCGGTACATAACTATTGTTTATGTTTAAAAAAAGAACAATTCTATTAAATATATTTTTAGTACATAACTATTTTTCTGCTGAATTAACATTAAAATACATTTTATTCGCTTAAAAAAAAACATTAAAACAAAATATCGTAAATTTATATGAAAACATTTGTATATATGTATGTATATAATTAGGTGCAAATAGTAAAGATTTTTAAGAAAAATTTTGAAATGATTAACATACAGCAGATTCGCTTATTAATGTTTTCTTGTATAAGTGAGAACGTTTTAGATAACAAAATAAAAAACTCAAATACATTATATGGAGAATTTTCCAAGAATGTTACACATAAATTTTTTGATAAAACACTTAAAAATTCAAAAAAAAAAAAAGCAATTTTTGATTACAAAGAACACACAAAAACTAAAGCTAAAAAGCGATCCCCTGCTCTCTTGGCTCCGAACAATCATCCAAAATGATTTTAAAAGAAAACAGAAAAAAGAATAACATACATTCGGAAGGCATGAATCACAATCACAAAACCGGCGACGACACGCATAGAATAATTCATGAGGTGGGGTGTTAACTTATATTATTGAATTTGTATTGAATACTTATCGAAAGAAAGATAATAAGCAAATAATAATATATGTATACGGGCTTAAAGAACATAGTAGTTAAAACGTAATTACCGCGATTCGTTATTGACAATATTTGCAATTTTTGAAACAACCCCCTTAACATTTCTAAAAATTTTCGTCTATAAAATTATATTTTCTTTTATCTATTTTTATTTTATTTATATACTATTTCTTAAATTTTATAGTATAACTCACTTTATGGCAGTTTAAATAGTAATACAACACGTCTACTTCAATATTTTATAACACTGTAATCTATACAATTTTAATATGTATGCAATCCTACTCGCTTTACAAAAATAACTTGCACCTTCACTACAAAACACGCATGCAGACGAACAAAATTTAAACCGCAGAAAACAGTATTGCTGCCTGTAATAATGTAGTGTTGTATTTTTTCTCACTGAAAAGTAAGGCGAAAATAATTGACAATGCACTTTACTTACAGAAGTTCATAAACGTTCTACCAGCTACATAAATGATCTTATTATAATGTGAACGTTCAATCATTAATATAAATGAGCAAGTGCCTCAATGAGGCAGTGGCATATTAATGATTGAACGTTCACATTATAATAAGTTCATTTATGCAGCTGATAAAACTTTTATAAACTTCACTTTAAATATATCTGCAGGAACTCCCCAGCTATCAAAGAGTAAAAGTTGCCAGATGGACTAACTCGGAAAAGGATCCATATTACATTACATTACAAAAAAATTAAATATGTAAATGATATATTAAATAGTTTATATTCATTTTGTATAACAATTACATATTCAATTTAAAAAAACAAAAGTTTTATTAAATATATACTTCCTCAATGCCTTTGTTTACAGCTCAACTGTTGTTTGTTCACATTCAACATATAAAACATATGACACATATTTCAAATTTTGATAATTTCCCTTTCCCTAATTTTTTTAAGAGTTCAATTCGGCCTTTGTAAGGTAAATCATCCTTATTAGTGGCTATAATGAGCAAAAACCGCCTAATTGAAACAGTGTGAATATGCTAGTAGAATAAAACAGCAGCGAAGCACATTTTATGTTAAACTTTTTAAATGTTATAAATATGTGGCATTAAATATGATAAAATTGTAAACTATACTGTTGTTAATAACCTAAATATGTGTTAAACAATTTCTTCTACAGTTAAATTCACAAATTGCTAACAATTGTTAAGCTTCAGTAATTTTTAAGCATTTAAATTTAAATGTTCGATTTACAATTAAAAAAGCATATAGCAAAACAAGAAACAAAATAATATAAAAAATTTAGTTAAATATTAATATGCTAATAAATTTTTAAAGTGTGAATGCTAATGTTCACACTTCACATTTAAATTAAATGTGATCAAATTATTAAAAATTATGTAATGTAAATTACAATAAGATGCTTACACTTCACGTTTATTTTATACTTACCATAAATTTTGCAAAAATATCTTGAAGTGTTTATACTTATTTAGGGAAAACTGAAACAAAGGTAAAGACAAAAAGCAATTGAATTTTGTTTTAAATTTCCTTTTCATCATTATTTACTCCCTTCGTTGCTATCAAAACTGCACACATAATTGCAATTGTTGTAATTTTTTCTTTCAGACTAGAAAAAAAAATATTCGCAACTTATAGTACATTCACACTATGTCATTCAGGCGGATTGCTCATTATAATCACTAATGATGATGATTTACCATATAAAGAGCTTTCATATAAATGAGCTCATTTACAATAAATCAGATCATTTTAGACTTAAAATGTCGAATGCAAAAATAAATTGCCCATAAGGGAAATGACCAAAATTTGAAGTATGTGTCAAATATTTTTTAATATAAAATATAAACAAACAATAGCTGAACTGTAACCAAGTACACTGAGAAAGTATTATATAAAATAAAATAATTAAAAACTACAGAATAGGCATTGCGTGGTCACTTTCTTAGAAATGCAAACGAAGATCCACAACTTTACATAAAGATTTAGGTAAATATTTTATAGTGAAATTGAAAATTCCAATAATAATTTATGTATTGAAACTGTTTTGCTTTTTATTACGTTATTTACTTTCATATAATAAAAAAAGATTTGAATGTAATTTTGTTAACTTTATTTATTTATTTTTATTAAATTGCTGTTAATCACTTTACTTGGCTTGTTTGTTTATTTTAAATCAGTAAATAACAGCAATATGTTACAGTTTCGGAAGAGGCGCCATTCAACTAGAAGTATTTCCATATATTAAATATATTACTGAACAATTTATTTATACATAACATTACAAAATTATTGGGCAACAGTATTTCTTGTGAGTTTTTACAAATTTATTTAAGTTATTAAAAAAATGAATGTGTTTATTAATCACACCAGAGACCATCTTCAAATGATGCAATGTTGCTGTCGCCATGCTCATCTCCACGTCCATCAACAGAGCCAATATGACCTTCACGTACATCGGCATATCCATATATCTACGTCGAATGATTGTGAAACAGCTCCAAAAGAAAGAAAGAAATATAATAATATAAATGAAACCTGATATGAATCTGAGAGATATGAGAACAGCCACATCGCACTGCAGATGCAAAGTTCTTGAATTTAGCACTGCTTTGTCAGGCATCTCGTCATCAATGAGAAGAGGCTCGTCTCGCGGAACACAATGACTCCAGCGATAACTAAGCAAGATGCGGTCAACTATTATTATTTATTATAATTTATACTTATATATAATTTATAATTATTTATTAATACTATTATATAATTTATAATTATTATCATATTATTATTATTTAGATTTAGTCGCTTCCTTTTTTTTCGTTTTTGTAAATATTTAGGATAATGAGATTAAGTTATTTAGTGCTACAAAATTAATTATTAGGGTTAGGAGAATTTCTAATAAAACTTTCTAATAAAAAACTTTTTTTCACATCATTTTTGTCATTTAAAAAATTGTGAAAAATACAGCAGGATCGTGTAATGACGTTCGCGTTTTCGATTTTATTGTCAATGCCCTTCCCTATTCTGCGAAATCTTGTCTTACGCTGCCCAAAAGCATTTTCAACCTCTCTTCTAAATTTAGATACTTGGTAGTTAAAAGTTTTTTGACCAATGCTAGCGTTTTCATCATAAGGATATGGTTTCATAAGTTTGGTGGAAAATCGAAATGCAGAATCACCTAAGATCAATGGTGCTTAATGTTCGGACATCATTAATCACCCAGCTGTTGTCCTCTAGAGCAATGCAAATATCTAACTGCCTCTTTAGTGATAAATTTTCAAAAATGAAAGTCATTGACTCTTCCAGGATACCCAATATTTATAACGGTGAAAACGGTATCTATATATAAACAGTAAAATATATTAGCGCGTTTATTGAAATTTCGTTGTTTATTTAGGCATAAATTACTTACCTAAAATCTACGAGGACAAACAAAACGATCGAGTACCACCCTTTGAAGTTATAGTAGTCAATAGCATTCTGAGATTTTGGTTAATTTCATCTCAGTTTATTTTTATTTTGGTTTATTTCAAATTGAAAACTTACCCATTGCACCTAAACATTGTGGAAACCCATGAACATCAAATCCTCTGATGCACTTATTCACCTCCTGAGAAAATAATTTCAGGGAAATGCACACGGTTGATTTGCCAACGCCAAACAGATTTGCTACGCCCAATGATAATTCTCTTTTTTAAATCAAATGGAAATCCGAAAGGTTGTATCTTTTTTCTGTAGTCCTTTCAACAATTCATATAGTTTCTTAAAAAATTCCAAACTCATGCGAAACTTTTTTTTGGAAAAATTGGGACCATTTTTCTGGCAACCCACTTCCCATAATTTCTATATTTTTTACTGAATAAAGATATGTTAATTTTAAACTTTATTTAATAAACGTTACTGGCCATACTAACCAAATTCCAGCACTTCCTCCGCAATTACTGTAGAAAATATTGCTATTCACATTTTTTTTTTCAAATATATTTGTTCTATCTATTGTTTTTCTTTCTATCTATTATTAATAATTACACACACATTATTTATAATATTTTTTAGATTTTTCGGATTTTCTATTTTAAAATATATATTTTACACAATACCGAAATTTTTCTTTGTTTTATTTGTAAACAAAAAAAAATTCTTTTATAACTTTTCTGACATATAAAAGTTCTAAAAGCTGTATAAATGAGCTCATTATTATGTGAACGCTTCCTCATTTATATAAATGAGCAGTGCCTAAGTGAGACAGTGTGAACATAGTACTACGACAGAAAATATGTAAAGCAGCAACAATATTTTTAAAATCTTCAAAGCTAGGTTTTATTCGCAAAAAATGTTTTCTTAAGTTTTAGTGCAGCCAAATTCATAAAAGAAAAATGCTTACCATTACTTTTCTAATATTGATTTTGTTCTCTTTTATTTGAATTAATTAATTTTTAGTGTTTACAGGTTTAATATTTCATATTGAACACATTACAACAAAAACACATGACAAAAAAGTATTTGACATATTTTAAGTGATGCTAACTTGTTCCTACCAGACCAATTTGTCGTATTTTTATAACTCTGAAAGAAAAAATTACAGCTAATGATACACAGCATCTCCCATTAAAGATATCAAACAAATAATTGTTCGGTTGTGACATATTCTTTCCATCCATTTGTGAAGCAAGCAATATTATTTTATATTTTTTTTAACGTCTTCATAAATATAAAAACATCTCAGAAACTCCAAAAAATGCATTATCTTTACTTTTAATACTATATATACACTCATAATTATTGAACTCCATAAGGACGTTTTTGTATAAATTTTATATGTAAATGCAACTACTACCTGTACCTTTGCCGAGTCAATTGCGATAGTATAAATGCAAGTTAATTGAAATAAAAAAACAAACACAAAACTTCAGTTTTGCAAACATATTTAAAACCATTCTTAAGACTAACTTAAAAATATTATTCCTGCAATGCCTTAAGTCTAAATGCGTAGCTTAAACATGAAATGCTAAATATCTCACTCAGCACATTTTGCACTTGGGGACCGAATTTGAAGCTTGCTGTCTTTTAGTGATAACGCTATAGTAGGCAGCTTATTAATTATATCATAACTATATAACTTAATATATAATAGGTTAAAATTATAATAGGTCTGTTCCACGAGCTACTCGTAGTAACTTTAAGTAACACTAAGTCTGCTACTCGTAGTAACTTTACGTAACACTTAGTCTGTTCCACGAGCTACCCGTACTAACTTTGAGTAATACTTAGGGTGTTCACGGGGCTTTGGTTATCGGGTTATGTGGTGATAAAATGAAAAATAACCCGTGTGCCGTGAATAGACTTTTACGTGGGTTATCTGGTTATTTTTACATAATCAGCTGTTCTTTGTTTTTGTCGTCAGAACAAAGAAATTTAAATTTCAAAATGTACACAAAATGCCAAAAAAGAGTATAAAAAATCAACTTATAGACGCAAAGTTTTGCGTATTCAGATTTCGTTAGACACTGAAAATGGGAAATAAATAAATCATATGTATAATTTTATTTTGCGTTGACCATTTTAACTTACTTTTGAAAATTTAAATGTTTGTGTACAAACAAAACCATCTGCAAATGTTAGTGATGTCAATTTTAAATTCACAGTTTGTGGTGCCATTCGGTGAAATTAATATTTTCTGTGATGCCATTTGTTTGAATTTTATATTATTTTTCAACACTGCAATTAATCACAAATCCACATAAATTTATATAGATAGGCAGGGGTCGCGATAAGCTGGTTATTTTTATTCAGTGTATTTTGTTGTTGCTCACATAAGTACATACGCACATAACCCGATAATCAGTGCCCCGTGAATACCCTAAATTTGTTTGTTCGTTGTATTGTTTTATTTCAAAACACCATCCTCTTAACAAACGACAAACATCGGGAAATAGTGCTGCTTAAACTCAATTATTTTGAATTTGTGCGTATACAACTAATTGCCAGACAATTAGTGAGTTACAGACACCACGGCGTTACAGTAAATTCAAATTTACTTTTATATTACAATATGTAATATAGTATACGTTATACCGAATGTCATATGTGGGAAAAGTTTACATCTTATGTATATTAACACAAATATTTTCTATAAAATGGGAATTTATTGCTTTTAAAAAATTATTTACTGTATTATTCAAATACGAGAATTTAAAGCAGGCAACACCACAAACAGCTGTTTTCTCAAAACAAATAAAAATATTTGATTACTTCATGTGTGAATTGAATTGAGTATAAGTTGTGTAAGCATTTTTCAAATCAGTTTTAGGAATTCAAACGAAATTAACCATGGCGCCAACGACATATTTAAATCAACTCAATACTGCAGAAAAGATGAGTGAGCCTTGGCCTAATAATGCTATATTATATCAACCGTATGAGGTAAAAAAGAAACGAATTTTTTCTTTATTTAAATGTACATTAATTCAATTTTTTTGTTTTTATATTAAGGCTGAACAGATCCTTCTTCATGAACACGCGAGCTGTTTAGCAGTAAAAGCATATTTAAAAATGTGCAACTTACCATTTGAGATTTGTTCGAGAGCTAATGCAGAATTTATGTCCCCGGGAGGGCGCATGACAAAGTTACCCGTGTTACGTGCGGGACAATTCATTTTGGCTGAATTTGAACCAATCGTTAATTTTGTGGAACATAAAAATGCTGGTGTCGGACAACGACTAAATGATGATGATAAGATTGATATGCGCACATATGTCTCATTAGCAGAAAATATATTTACAATGGCTGAGTTGTATATAAGTTTTGTTAACGACAAGGTCTATAATGAGGTGACGGCACCACGTAATGGCTGCGTTTATCCTTGGCCCCTGAGTGTAATACAAAACATCTCTAAGAGAAAACAGGCTTTACGTCTATTAAAAGTGTATCAATGGAGCGGTCTAACAATCGAAGAAGTCATTGATAAAGTAGAAAAATGCTGCGAAAATTTAACAATAAAACTGGAAGAGTTTGAAGGTGATTACTTTTATCCTGATGGACCATGTGATTTAGACGCTATAGTTTTTGGACATCTTTATACTATGCTAACAATACAATTACCTAATATGGCGTTGGCGCATACAGTTCAAAAATTCAAGAACTTAGTTAAATTTTGTCAGTTAATAGATTTAAAATATTTTCAAACAAAGTCAGCATAAATATTATTAAGTAAGAACCAATCATTTTAAAATCAAAACAAATAGTCAACATTTTGTGTATTAATGTATATATTTTAACATTCATGCATTTCTAAACACCAGACAAGATAATTCAATATTAAAATACTGTTTTTCTAATGTAATTTAATTCAATGTAAAAATTATTTCTATATTTTTGAATACTGTAATAATAGAGCGATAAATGATGCGAATATAATTCGTTATAAAATAAAATAAAAGTAATAGAAAAGCAATAGAAAAAATAAAATTTTAATTCACGATTTGCATAGAAACGGATTGATGTCCGTATTTGGGTTAAATTAACTTTGTTTTTTATTTATAAATTTATTTCATTACAAAGTAATTGTAAATAAAAACAACAAAACACTAAAAATAATTTGTTATAAAATAATATACATTTTCGATATATAAATTTTATATCACCTTTAGTAAAAATATGAATTGAATATAAATTACTTATTTTTAAAATAATACTTCCATTTTTATTGTTGTCAAAATGTTAAATGATATAAATATTTGATATATGACTCTTCACAGTCAACAAAACTTCGAGTTTTAAATAAATAATAATTCATTACATCTAATTAGTGTGTAATACCACGGTCTTAACAAAAGTAAATTCATTTCATTATGGAATAGAAGTAAAACATAGTTACTATAAGTTATGAAAAAAACCAGTCTATCCCTCAAATAGATAAGTCTGCTGCTGAATATGAGAATGTGTTTCAAACAACATACGTCAACAAACAACATGGAGTGTTAAACGACACTTGGTTATCGCTGGCGACGAGTGGCCACTCGTCGTAGACTCGACCGTTCGTGGAACGAAAGAATGACACCTAACGTGTGCCGCAAAAACTGTCGTAGCTCAATTAAGATCAAGATATAGCCGAGTGCTAAACAGTTACTTGTCACGCATAAGCACATCTATTCCCAATGTGTGCCCTAACTGCAGCTCTTCTCCCCATGATGCAACCCATCTGTTCTCCTGTCGTATTACACATACAAACCATCGTCCAATGGACCTTTGGCCAGATTTCTCCGGCTAGGTCCAGGTTAACGTTCAATTTTATCCCACCCACCCAATCCTCTCCATCATCTTCCCCCCTCCATAACTCCCAACCACTACCCACCTTACTATGTAATCGTCTTGTATATCATTTTATGTTATCTGCTTACAGGTCCCAGTGGGTTACAACAACAGAATGTGTTTCAATATCTGTTTCTTAAATGGGAAAGTATATTTTCAATTCAATTCAACATTTATTTACTTCTGCTTCTAAACTTATAGTTGTAACAGAAGGAGGTTTGATGCATACTTATAATTAGGTTTAAAAAGTAAGCAATATAAACAAAAAAATAAATAGTAGTAAAGCAAAATCTTGATCTGATTTTAAGACTATTTAATATATATGTGAATATTGCTTTAGATGATTGCGGATCAGTGCAGTTGAAAATTGGAGATTTATTGTCTCTGAAGATTGTAAGTAAGAAACTAAGATGGTGATCTCGTACTGAGGAGTAAATAGGGCACTGAAACATAAAGTCTGTGAATTTGCCCGTTAATACAAAAACGAGTGCAGTGAGTTGTTGACAACCGCAATTGGGCGATAACCTTTGCCATAAAAAATTGCTTACGATCAAAGAGGTAACAGGTAGGTTTGTCATCCAAGGCTCTTAATATATTGCAATTCATGGATTGTGAGTTGATGGATTTTAGAATGTCTTTGAATTTTAGATATCTATGATAGCGAAGGGCCGTAGTTCGGTTATCAATCCAAGTTGCTGCAGTCGGTGTTTCCTACAAGTTTGTCATATTTACAACTTTAAGAAACTTATTAAATTGTGTAACTCAATTAAATTCACTTGTAGAAGAATTATTTAGGTGTAGGTAAATGAGACGAAAGAGACATTGTTTGGGGTATCCTGATTGATGCATTTGAAGAATTCGTATAATGAAATCAATTGCGCGTTTGAAAAGTCTAAGTCTAAGTGCTTGGGGGAGTGCTAACAAACGTTTGTAGTACGTTGACTGAACGATTTCTAGTGAATCACAGTAACGTAGACTCCACACTTCTGATGCATATAAAAGTGTTACAGATACAGTGCACTCGAATAGTTTAGCCCGACCTTCGTAAGAATCTGATTTAAATTTACTTATAGTTTGTACTGCCATACCGAGCGCCATTTTTCTTTTTCTTATGGCAGTTTCTGCTGCACATTTGCCTAATGTGGAAAGTATATTTGATACTACCCAAGCTAGGTTGATGAATGTCTTAACCTGTATTTGAGCTTCCCAGTATCCAAATTTAAGAAAATAAAACCTGAATATGTTTAAAGCTATAAACCTGCGAACTACTGGAAACTATTACTTAAATATTTGCAAATATACCTTTATTAAAAGTAAAAATTAATTCAATAAATAATATATATGGTGTCAAGAATGTCAGGTCTTCCACAATTACTGAGGGCATTAAAACCTACGACAAAAAAAATTATATGAAAATTTCGTTAATTTTTCAAAAAATTCTTTAAGAAAGACGTATTAATAAAAAACAACAATATAAAAATAATACTTAGAATTAAGAATTTACATAAATTTTTATTAAGTAAAAGATAATAATAATAATAACTTTAGTAATTAAGTAATAATTAATAATAATTATATATATATAATTATAGAAATTATAGATTTAATCAATTAAATACACATCAAGTGCTTCCTAACAATTATGTCGAGCTTAATCTAAAGGGTTATAATTCTTAATATATTATCTCAAATATGATCTTATGTTTTCTTCGAGAGTGGGACGCTGGATTGTATAAATCATATTCGTTAAAAACGCTATTACTTTGTACTTCACCTCAACGCTATACTATACTTCAAGTATAGTCAATCTTGATATCAAGTTGCAGTGCTTATTGTGTATATATAATTTTTGTTGTTTTATTTATCAAAAAAAATGGGGGAATTGTTACAGTACGTTGTCTACGAAGTATACACGACACACAAGGGGCCCATTATTACCTAACGATACTTTGTCAAATGCCAGGTGTAGGACAAAAAATGCAATCAGTCTCATATTGAGAAAATATAGAGATTGATTTGGTTGGGTATTTCCAGAGCACTTAGTAGTGCGCCTCAAAGTCCTAAATATATTACTTTATCTTTAAGTGCAATTTACTTCACAGAAATTAAAATAAAGCAGTCGTACTGACTCTAACATCCGTACACCCCTATTCTGAAACACATGGGAATGGGAGTTTTTTCCCTTTTCCCAGTTTTGCTTTTCTCAATCATATGGGAATGGGAGTTTTGTTCTCTCTTCCCAAACCCCTTATTCTGAATCACATATTTATTTTTTTGATTTGAAAGACTGCGAAGTGGATCACTGCTTAGTGTAATTTTGTTTTCAATGTTTTAGACTAGTGCTGTTCACATTATTCGAAGTTTTTAAAAAACCGAAGTTCTTCGATTATTCGAATATTCGCATTTCAACGAAGTTTTCGAAGTTGGAAAAAACTTCGAAGTTTTTGTAAATTTTTGTTCTCGAAGTCTTCGAAGTTTAAATGCAGTGAAAAACTTCGAAGACTTCGTAAGCAAAAGGTGAAGTATATTCAAAGTATAGAAAACTTTTGGTAAAATTTGCTCTTTTTTAAACTGCTTTTATTCGCAGCAACACAATTAAGAAAATTTTATTAGGTGAACTATTTGGCAACTTATTTGCATTAAATTGTTTACATACTCTAATTCAGTTGTTCACATTGAACTAAAAATTGAATGACATATCAAAAGAAATGAGTGCTTTACATAGGTTAAAACACCTTACCATTGCTCGCTAATGGATGTTATATTTTACCCGATCACAGAGTACTAGTTCATGTGAATTAATCAATTGGTTCTTTTGTTGAAGTTTTAAAAAATAATTAATAAATTTTTTTTTATTTATATATAATTTTAATTAATATAATTTTAACATAAAATATTAAGTAATATTATTTTTATATTATTAGATTCTGCCAACGATTTCTACCAACGACTGTTTTTCCCAACGACTCACTTAAAAGATATTTTTTCTAATGAATAAAGTCCTTATTGAAATGTTAAGGATTGGATTAGCCAATCGAATTATACCTTCTTAAATTCATGAGAAGTTTCTAGAAACTTTCTTGTCTCCATCCTATAGGATTCTATAGCTTCTATTTTCTAAAGCGCCACGTAAACTTCTTTAGCTTCAAAATACTTGATCGATGAGATGTCCAAATACTATTGAATATTAATCGCGGACCAGATGACGAGATTAATGTGCAATAGTATCAAGTATTTTGAATGATACTTGATATGCTTTCTACAAGATACTTGCAGTTTCAAAAGAAAACATTTTGCAACAATGTTGCCATAAGAAAAATAGGCATTAAACCTGGATACAACACTTGAATGCGCATACTTAAGATACAATAATTGTGTATAAAGGCAAAGTACCGTTATACTAATACAGGGTGTTAATTTGTATATAACTATACTTTACAAGTTAATGAACTGAGCAATAAAACTCTGAAAAATTCTTTAAGTTTTCATTGGCGTAATAGTATTAGATATTCGTCAATGAAACTCCGACAAGTACTTAAGTTGTTTTACGACTTATAATTAATATTAGAAACTTATATGTAAAAAGCTCTCACAAATAAAGATAAGAACGTTATGATGATAAAATTAATTAAAAGAAGTATGTAAAATATACTTATTATTACTTTAAAAATATTTATTTAGAAACCATAAGTAAATTATGATTAAATATATTACATTTTATTTATATAAATTTTGAAGTTTACTGTTAAAATATAAGTTCATGTCTATTATATTTATTATTTTAAATATTTTTCTATTAAAAATATATTTAAGTTATTTTTCATCTTATTTTTCTCAATATAGAAAATTATTTAAGAATACTTTTTTATCATAAAAATATTCTACTCATAGTTTGCTTTACAAATTTAATATGTTTAATTTTTTTCAATGATTTTTTGTTTATAGGATATATATATATCCCTTTTTTCAATTGCATAATTTTGGCAGTAAAACGCAATATTAAGAAGGATTTTTAAAAAACTTATAACATTAAAACATTTACATTTTTCGTTTAATATTATTATTTAGAATATTTATTTTTCTTTAAAAAAATAGTATATGTGTTGATAAGCTTAGAATTTTATACTTTATGAATCAGTTTCAACTAATAATATAATTTTTGTTTTAATTTAAAATAAAAATAATATTCTTTATTAAACTCCAATGAAATAACTGTACACTATATGACAGAAAAAGAATTATATTAAATTCATAAGAAAGAACTTTTATTCTTATTAGCTTTATCACAACGGGTCATTATTGGTCAAGTGCAACGACGTTAAAAAGTAATATTATTAAGAATTAGGATATTAGGAATTCTCCTGATGTAGGCAAAAGCGAATTTGCCGAAATACGTACAAAGAAAAAGATCTAAATAAAAGTTAAAATTCTAAAAAAACAAAACCGAAGTTAAAAAGTCATTTTTTAAAAAACGAGTTCAAAGATAAACGAGGTTTGAGCTTCAAGTGTAGCAGAGCACTGCAAGATCTAGAATGTCCCCCGTTCACGAGTTGCTGATGGGGATAAGAACTTCCGTCCAAGAGTAAAATCAAGAAGTCACAGAGAATGAAACTAGACTCGACGAAATTCAATTTAACATTTTATACAAACGTTGTTTTGAAAAAAAAAAAATGTGAATGAAATTCACGATCTACGTCGGTTGATTTGTAAGACTAATTAAATATCTCCAGTAGTATCATACTTAAAATAGTCGATAATTGAAAAGTGTTTTCAGCTCCAGTAGCCAAAGTTGTCAATGTTATAAACTTTTCTATTGTGAATATTACGTTTCCGTTTTAGTGATAAAATTGCATACTTACTTAAGCAACTTTGTGGAAGAAGGTCAAAAATATATCATTATTTATATAAGTAGAAATTTTGTTATTAAATAAATGCATTAACTATGCTTTCTAAAAGAATGAATAAGTATTTTAATTATGGGGAAAAAACCTGTATACAAATAACATACATGAAAAATATTGACACGAAACCGAACCGAAAACCGAAGAAAAACGATATTTTTATCTAAACGAAAACCGGAACCGAACCGAAATTTTTTTTATCTTGAACCGGAACGGAAAAAATTCCGGTGCGATGCCCTGATCATAGTAAGCACATATTCGAGGATATTAAAGTCAGAAGATTTAACTACTGTGTCCTTGATATATTTTTTCACTGAGTCGATCCATAGATCTCTATGCATATCTGTTGTTCTAATATACCAAAGAATCTTAATTAGTCTTCTTAAAGCCAGATTTTGAGCTATCTGTAATTGCTTTATGGCAGTATTTGAGGCTTTGCTGTATGTTACACATCCGTACAGTAATGCTGGCCTAACTGTTTGAGTATATAATAACTTTCTACTTTTGAGGTTGAATCGATTATTATTAAACAGCGGCTTTAGGAGATGTACTATTATAATTTAAGCTTTATGTCATAATTTTGTAAAAAATAAAAGTGTTTCGTAAAATACAATTTACAATTTATGAGAAATGATAATTTTGCAACAGATTTGTCGAGTTAATTGCGAAAGCGTAATTGTATTGTAAAAATGTTCTTTCTTGTATTATTATTTTTTTTTAATATTGGAAATAAATTATTAATTATTATAAGCATTAACTATAATGAACTAAATTTTTGAAGTTTTTTTATTTTTATAAATAACAAGAAAAATATTATTTATATAGCAGATGAAATTAGTTACATAAAAGAAACTTTAATTTTTATTTCAATCTTAAATTAGAATAGCCAAATCATTTCACATAATAAATAATTTTATGTTTAAAAAACTATTTTTTAATAGAAACAATTAAATGCAATGATTATTTTATGAATAAATATAAATAAAAAACAATTTAATAAAATTCAAATTGAGCTTAAAATCAGTAATATAAACTTTTATGCTTCCTTATAGTTTAAATGCATTCTTTATCTTATAAAATGTTTGCCAGTTCTTTAATAGATTAATTTTGTTATTTCAGTTTACTTCATATAGACAAATTATGTGTCACATCGTATCAAAATTAATTTATTAACATTTAAAAAAAATTATTATAACGAATGGTATATTTTAGTTCTTATAGTAACCACATGTAAATTACTTCATGTCTGACTATAAAACAAATTAAAATTTAAGGAAATTTAATAATTAATTTTAAATACTGTTCTACAGCAAATTTTCTAATAAGTGAAAGGGCAAATGAAGCAAATATTGCGAAAATAACATGAAATAAAAAAGTTGACAACATTTCTTAATAATATTTCATACTATAACATAATCATTTAACATAGTATTCAAACAGAACTCTCAATTAAATCGATTATATAACGAATAAAATTAATTACGAATTTTTAAAAATATTAATTATATATGACATTTATATGTATTATATATATATATATAATATATATAATAATATAATAAATATATAATATATATATATAATATATAAATATATATAATGTATATATATTATATCTATATATTATATATATATAAATTCAAATTTCTTATTTACTTATTATTTACGTATATATTTTAAATTTTATATTTCTTATTTACTTATTATTTACTTAGTTATATCAACTAAACTTTTTACTAAATAATTTTTACTCATTTTTTATTTTTTGGATGTGAATGACGAGTACGCATAGATTTTATATTACTATCTTTATTTGTATTATTATCGGATTTTGTATTATCAGATTTTGTATTATCCGATTTTGTGTTTTCAGAAGATTTCGAAGCAGCAGAACTGCTTGTATTCAGGGCACATATTGTTTGACGCCTTTTCTTCACGGCGTCTGGCAGTGGTTTTTTTGATGGTGAAGAAATTGTAATAGGCACTAAACGCTTAGAGTCGTGTTTAGTTGGTGTGCGGAGATTATTAATTTTAGTATTTAAATTTGTTCTGTTTATGCTTCCACTACGTCTTCTCTTAATGGCAGGCACATTTGTATCTACATAAATGTTTGTAAAATATTTCATAATTATTAAGGTTATTCAATTATTAACTACAGCAGTTCAACTACATCATATTTACTACATTTTATGCCGAAAATTACAACAAAAATTTGGAAAAAACATACAAATAAATTTTTTAATCATTTAAAGCTGCTTCTTGTAACGAATTAATAAGTTCAAATTTTTCCTGAATGACGCTTTCCATAGCGTTTGTCGGTAAACTTATTTTTATATCATCGCATTCTTTTTGGCGCTTCTCATCATTAAAATCATCATCCGCTGCTAGAATTAAGAGAACAAAAAGAACGCTCCCAAATTTAAATTTAGAGTTCTTTAAGTGAGACTTTACATTTTGTGGATGAGACGAAATGGGATGTGATGAATAATAATGATGATAAGCAAAAAGCGTCTTATTATTGACTTAATTAAACTAAAATTAAATTTTATGTATTTTTAAAATAAATTATCATGAAAACCAACTATAGACAGTAACGACCTAATGTAATTACAAGCTAAGAGACTATAAAGATTCGTATCTGCGTTGTATCAAGATCTACTTATGGCATGGATTTGCACTCGCTCATTTTAATTTAACACTGAACTGTAATATCTAAGCACCTTTTATATTACAGTTAGACTGCAATTAAAAATTTTTTAAGGCTGTGCGCGCCTTCGAGTAAATTGAGGTAAAGTAAATTGAAATTTCCTGGGGATTTTTTGCACTGCACTTATTTACACTTATTTATTATTTTTCTGTTAAGTTTTTAAATTTATTTATTTATTAAACATCTTATAAAATTTTCACAATGGTAATACCTAATTTACCTAATTTTTATATTATTTACCCTACTCGAAATTTTGGTAAATACCAATATTCGCTGCCATACCGACATAATTTACTATTTCCCTCAATTTACCATAAATTTACTCGAACTCGCTATTCATTAAATTCATTATTAAATGAACTAAACCGTAAAATTCGTTAAATTGTAAAATTCATTAAATCGTAAAAATCGTTAAATTGTAAAATTCGTTAACTTGTAAAAATCGTTAAATCGTAAAAATCGTTAAATCGAATGAACTAATAACAAAAAGAAATATAAGTTACAGTAGTTGAGCGGTTATTTTTTGAAAATTATTTTTTTAACAACTTAAATTGATGAATTAATATTTATGTGCTTATTTTTGCTAGGCTAATAAAATCATAATATTAGTTTAATGTGTCCTATGGGGTATTTATGGGGTATTAAAGGTATTATTTCAGTGAAATATTCTCTTAAATATCCGCAATTTTTTTCTGCAGTATTCCTTAAATCTTAAACTTACTCTACATAACATATGAGCAGTTAAATTCAACCAATTGGACATACTGTATTATTATAATATATATATTATTATAATATATTATATTATAATATATATTATAATATAATATATTATAATATAATATACTATAATATAGCTAATAGCTGTATTTCATCTTTTAATGTGATATTTATTAATGAATAAATATTTTTGTGCTCTTGATGTAATTTTTATGTTTTATGTACAAATGATATCGAAATGATATTAGTTTTCAAATTCCAATTATACAATATACTTATACATATAATTTTATAATTAAAAAACAAAAATGTTTGTAGAAAAAGTAGAAAAATAGTGCTTAAATAATTAAATATAGGCGTACATATAATATTAAAATGGTTTATAGCGCAGTTACACAGCACAAATAGTTATAATTTTGATTGTAATTTACTAATTGGGCTCGCATCGCTGAAAACGTGTCTTCATGGCAAACCTTAGATTTATATTTATATTATTTTAAATATTTGTTTAAAATATGTTTATTTAAAATATCACTACACAATTATGAGTTACTAATTCAATTTTAACTTGATTTTGTAGAAATTACAACTTTAATTGCAATTTTGGTTGTTTGGATTTGGATTTCAAATTTATTACGAAGCGAATCTAAGAGCTGAATAATAAAAATTACAATTACTTGTGTTATGTGAATAGGAAAATTTCTTTAAATATTAGCGATACTGCATAAACAAATAAGGTATTTAATATAAAACTATGTACATAATTATCAAGACAATATCTGTATATAATAGAGCTTTTGTGAAGAATAAGATGCTCCAGTAGTTCGAGTATACCCAAAATCAAACATTTTAATTGAACCCGTTAAATGTTTAATCTGCTCGAAAAGCTGATCTTTCTTTTCATTATATTCCCGTATTGTGTTCAAACAAAATATAAAGTATTTAATATAAAATTCTGTATTAAATTGGCAGATAATATCTGCCTATATTAATGTTTAGCAGTGTTCGGACATTTACTTATTAAAATGTATAATATGTTCGAAGATCTTGTCTAGCAACAGATCTCTTGTTTTACTTTATTTTCGTTTTGTATAAAACAATACAATATATGAAATATAAAACAATATAATACAAATACAATATTTTCGAAGATACCGTCATATATTAATAGTATTCGAAACTTCGAAAAGTGTAAATAATATTTAGAACTGTATTTAAAAATAAAAAAATTCTTTTATAACATGTAATAAAATCACAGATAAAATATAATATAGATATTGAAAAGAAAAGTAAAATTTTATAAATAGCACAACACCACCGAAATAATTAAATGAATATATATAATATAAATAAGTTGAAAGACTATAATTATTTAAGATTGTAAATTAATAGCCCTTGGTACGTCCAATACACATTATTTTTTAAATTTGTATAGCTGATTTAATTTGTCTTCATTTTTCCACCTATCTATATGCTGAATGATTACAACAATGAATTACAACATAATTGTATTGCTGAATTATATACATATTAAGCATTAATAAATTAGCTATCAACAGTGGTCTTTAAAAATATTTTTTGGATTCAAGAATGATTTGGATTCAAGATTCCGCCTTCCGAATGAAAGCCAGAATGTCAGCCGTTGAGACTCTTTTGATGTCAAAAAGTGAAAGTAGTTCTTGACGCAGTGACCTCCTCCTGACCCAGATCAAGGCTGGGCAGTCACAGAGAATGTGAATGATTTTGTTAACTTATTTGTTTTTTTGCAACTGACATTTTATTTGACTTTTTAAAAATTTAAATAAAAATTCTGTTTAAAATTTTGTTAAGTTACTACTTTGCTTTTTTGTAACTAAGCAAACACCTACTACAAAACCTGACCACAACATCGCCATGAAATCTTTCAGCTATGATGTTCCAATGGAAATATAAGATATTGAAATCTTTTTTTCTTAATTTTAAAATACTTTTAATCATAATTTTTGGATAACTTGACGAATTCGTCAACTGCGCTGAGGAAACTCAAATTAGCCATATAATAATAATAATAATAATAATAAGGCAATCTAAAGATGTAATCAGTTATTAAAACTGAACATATATCTTAAAATATTATGAACGTCTGTTCATGTCTGTTTAGATCAGCGCTTATTATTAAAAGAATGTGATAAAGCAATAAAACATTGTACCTATTTATTCTCTGTGAAAAGAACGGCATTAATTGAAATTGATTTTAAATAATTTCTCTATTTATAGCACATTAAAAAACATCTTAAATTTGCATATCTTTTTCTAGTCCGAATAATTCTTTTTATTTTACAGTTCAAAACATGTTAAAATATTTACCATATAGTACTAACAATTATAAAGTACATATAGTAAAAATTATGCTTTCCATAAATTTTAAAGAGAAACCATGTTACCATGTTTTTAATAAATATTTGAGTGCAATATGATATATGTATTATGATTCAAGAACCAAATTTATTTTATATGCAAATATATAAAACACAATGAATACCAAAACTCGTACTCCTGTAAAAATGGAAATGTACTCCAGCGAAATATTATATAAATGAACTAAAGTTAAGCAACAAAATTCTTTTAAAATTGACACTGCAATATGGTGATTCAAAAAAAAGAAAAAAAATAAAGAGATGTTTAAGATATGAAATTAAAAATATTTTCAACTAACCTTTGTTTGATAACCTACGTTTGACACCTTGTGTAGGTGCTCCATTTTCAGTTTTGATTTTGTTTATTTTTTGTGTATCGCCAGCTGTATTTCGTAAAAGATCCGTTTTGCGTTTTTCTCTGCTGGTTGATGGGAAAACATCATCATCTTGCAACACGGATTTTTTAGCAACACTTTTCGAATTGCTACTGCTATATACGTCAGGTGGATTTATAGGATTATTAGTAAGTACATTACTGCGACGAGCATTAGTAGGAGTTCGTTTGACAGGCGGTTGCATCACCTTGCTATCTAAATTATTTCCAGATATTTCTTTCTTAGTTGCAGGAGGATTTGCAAGATTTTGCTTCTGAATAGTTTTAAGATTTTGTTCATCCTGCTTAGACTTGCCAACTTCTTGCCAATATTTTAATTGTGTCTTACGCTGATTAGACATCATAGATCGTCCAGGCTCATATTTACTAACCATACTCTGCAATTTTTGCATTGTTTTGTATAATGTTTCAGGAGATATAAGGCCATAATCAAATAAAGTGCATAAATGAAGTGTAAAGTTGCGATACAAATTTTTTTTTATTATCTCTTGGCAGTAGTCATTCAAGAACATTTCACACGCTATTGGTAATTGACAATCACCCACATATCCGTGTTTCATTACATGCAGATTCCATAACTTCATTAATTCCTTCTCACCCTCATTGACATCAGAAAACTCATCAATCATTTGTATAGTCTTCTGTTGTAACCATAATGGATCATTTTCCTGTTCTGAATCTTCATCTAATTCTTTGCGATGCACAGGTAAACATGTTTCTGTATGGTGATATAACCTAAATAAAAAAAAATTATATTAATTTAATAAAACACATAAAACACAATGTCATTACCTGTTATGGCCACTTATATAAGCTCTTGGGTTAGTGACATCATCTTCATCTATATATAAGATATCATTCATTAAAGTCTTTTGTCTTCGTGGACGATATACTAAAAGCTGTGTAACTGACGATCGACGCACTGGTCCGCAAGTTCGAGCAAATGAACAGCCTGATGGACCAGCTAGGTCATGTGGTGAACCAGCATATGACCCATCGTACGAATCATTAATAGTTACATCAATTCGTGCCCCATTTCCAACTCCTTGGCATGCAAAGTTAAAGCGGGCATGACTATATTTTAAATGATTTACAAGTGATGAAAGGCGTAAACAATTAATGTCACACCATGGGCAGTTTACGGCTTCAGTATATTCTGTCTGCTGTCTTGTGTTATTACTATACAGAAAATTGTATACAATTTGTATTTTTTCTGTGGCATTAGTATTACCGTTTTTGATACAATTGTTGTTATGATTTATTTCCGAGTCCTTTAATACTCCATTTTTATGTTCGTTACCCAATTCGAAGTTTCCACCATTTTCTATAACCTGAGTAAATCTAGCAATGCTATTAAACTCCTCTTGGTCTATTATAGCAGGTAATTTCATACTAGCCCAAAGGAGACGAAATTTGATACACGGTATGTTTTTAAACACTGTTATTTCACTTTGTACAGTTTTGAAATTCTCTGGTAAAGTTTCCCAAACCCGCTTTTTTGGTGAAAACAACTTATGATTGTCATACTTAATATCTTGTAGAATACATTCGTAATCAGCTTCCGGTATACGTACCGTATTCTTTTCAATAATAATTATTTCAGCTCCTAAGGTTTTTAACACTTTGCGACGTTTACTTGAGATTTCTAAAATAAATATATAAAAGAGATATAAATATAAAAAAATATTTAATATTTTCACGCTACCTTCTTGTTCACTATTTTTATTTTCAATATCGACACTCGATAACCCATTTATTCGAAAACTTAGCTTATAAAGTGCATGATCGCTGAGTGGCTGCATTAAATTTCCTGGAATGCAAATGGTTGAATATTTACCAATATTATTGTGTGGATTACAGACAACCATTGTTGCTTGGCTCTGAAATTATTATTTGAAATTGTATTATAAATTTTTGTATAAAGCATTTTACTACTATTATAAATATGATATATAAACCAATTTTTAAAAAACTATACCACAAAGTCATGCTTATCTGATGTTATATAGATGTCCTCTCTCCCACCCATCATATCTGATCGCCCTACTAACAAATTCTTAGTTAAGAATACAATTTTAAGTTTCAAAAAGTATATTTTCAAGCATATTGTTTCGGCTACTTTATAACCGAAACAAATAAAATTCAACGTTAAAAAACAAGATAGTTGTGCTGGAGTGAGGAACAAATCTCCTTAACTAGCTAAGACAGCCGAATCCACAATAATCTCGTAATAGTGGGTAGTAGAGAGGTCAAGCTAGAACCAGGCAGAGGCATTTATAAAGGCAAGAATCTGGCCAATGTTTATGCTAGATATATCGCCGAGTGTGTTGAAGAAGGGTACCCCAGAAACTTAAGTCTATTTTTTTAATTGTTTAGAATATTAAATTTTGAAATTGATGAATCGATAGATGATGTGATATTTGCATACAATCTCCAGTTTTATCTTCTTTTTTTAAACGAAGTTAGCATAAAGTAGCAAACTGATATTATAATTGTCACTGAAAACAAATATTTCAAATAAATGGATAGAAATAGGTACATGAAATAAATTTTCTAATTGAAGTAACGCCTAAAATGCACTCATAAGAATTTACAATTTAAAGTTCCATACAATAAGTAATAGAAAATAATTTATATATATTCATACAATCGCAATCACTATATAAAACTTACAAAAGACATTATATAAAAAATGATAGATCATATTTTATCAATTTTATTAGAAAAACTAATATAATAATATGAAATAAAAAAACACACCCTATAAAATTCTTACTATTCAGACGAAATTTTGTCTTTATACTTACATGGTAACGACATGTTACATGGTAACATTACAGCACAACTCTTTTAACCTACCAAAAAAGGGTGTCTATTAAATGACTATTTGACTATTGGTCTTTAGAAAAAAAAACTAATGCACAGTAAAGGACACTTACTATATCTGTGTTAGCGAAGTTAAAAAGCTTCTGGACAATACAAGTATAAAATAACAAGCAAGAACGTGGCGGGCAAGACAAAAGGAGGTGGGAAATTAATAGAATCAGTACCACTCTCAATCATATTGTCTGGTACACAGATAGCTTTAAAACTGAACAGATAACACGCTAAGGAATAGGCTTGCTATCGACAAACAAAACCTAGCAAAAAAAAATTAAGTGAGCTTACACTGGATACCCGCACACATTGGGTTTGATTGCAATAAAGAGGTCGACGAGTTGACGAAGGAACTACTTTAAGGCAACCATAGGGTCCGACACTAATTCTCGATTCGGCAAAAATTAAATTAAAAGTCAAGTCAAATCGAAATTTTGTAGCGAATTTCTCGAATATTGATAACCCGTTTATAGCGACGACTCTGGCAAAACAAGCATATTTGAGTTTAGCTAATAGCAAACTGAAAATTTCTGACATATCTTAAGATCGACCTCTCGAAACTTGAAACATGGCAATCAGATACTGTAATAAAGCGGTATTTAATCAACACTAAAGTAAAGGTACTAACAGTCATTAACGATTGGGTCTACATCCCAGAGTTACTTGTCGCCAGCGAAGACCAAGTGCAGTTCGAGACCTTCCAAAAGGACTTCAAAGGCAGGTCTCAACGTGTTACAGCAACGGTATTAACAGACATACTATGAGCTGGATCTAGCTTGTTATGAGATTTGTCGATTTGTGCCCCAGCAATAAAAAGGAAACCTCACTTAATCCTATGTGACAGTGTACATCATTAGCTAGGAGAAGATTCACGACCTTTGAGCCACTTTTTTTACTGACATGATAAAACTGTCATTCTGGAAAGTTAGGCGTTTAACCCAAACTTATAAACTTGATAGGTTTATTGACTTTTCTTGAATAGAAGAATCGTGTCCTTCAGCGTTGTCTGTACACTGACCACTACAGTCAAGTGTTCAAGAGGACTGTACTTGTTCGCATTTAGCTTCTTCAAGCGACGTTAGTATTGTAATAAACTTGGTTTAATACTAGTATTAAGAGTAAAATTTTAATTAAACTTACCAAAATTTCTTGAAAATCTGATGTGCTATCCTTGCGTTTACTTCTTGTTATTTTACATAGATTACATTCAACGCATATTTCCTCCCCATCATCAAATAACTGCTCAATCCCACTTCGCTCATCAAAAATTCCCTTCATTACTATGTTAAGGAAGTTATTTGACGGTTCTGTTTTTCTTGCTTTTGTTTCTAAAATTGAATTAACCTTAAATGTTTGGCGGTTTTTATGGTTACGCGACATGCGATCCTTCATGTAAATTAATGTGCGGTTAAGAAAAATGGGCTAAATTTTTCAAAAATTTGAGATTTTTTTTATAAATTATATTTTAAAAACAAATATTTCAAAAGCTTACGCTTGTTGCATGTCGACTTCGAAGAAAACGATATATTTGTGTAGGTTCTGCAAAAAAATACATCATAGAAAATAACAAGCACATCTAGGTTTTACTTACTCTCGAACGCTTGTATAAATAACTCCTGTTCTTGTTGCCTGGAATTAAGTTTTGTCTCCTCGGAAGTATTACTAACCGTAAGTCCTCCACCTGCATTACAGTTAGAATCCCTTTCTCTGCGCTTTGAAGGAGGCATCTTTTTCCGATCTAACACAACACAATGGTAAGGGTACGCTACCTTTTTCTCCCTGATATTTCAGACTATTACTCATTCAAATTGGCTAAATATATATGAAACAATTGATTCTAATTCGAAATATATTTTATTTATAACCATTTATCAAATTTCCATTTATCAAAGTTATTAATTTAGATTACTTCTTATTATAACTTACGGCGCGCAAAATTCACACAATGCATTGTGTTTGTCACTTCACTTGCTTTGTTTAGTTTGACATTTGCCACATAGAATAAAATGAGACGCGAAAGTAAATTCTTCGCTATAATGCATTTGGAAATATTGAACATAGCTCGTGAAATTACTCAAAACAAATTATTACATATTCGTTAATACGATATATAATATCAGTTTTTCAATATTTCATTTGTTTTCTACTAATTACATTATTATGAATTATCGGTTTTGGTCGGGCGTTTAAATATATCAAAAAAATTTGGTTGTGCCTTGCTCATACACCAGAAGCTGCGCAGAGCGGCGTCGTCGTAAGCTACTATGGAATCTATTTAAATGACAAAAAGTACAGTCATAAGTTTTAATCTTTATTATGAGAAATCGTGATATATTACACTAAGTAAAACAAAAAATGTCAAAATACATAATATTTGTTATGTATTTTGTCTTTATACATTCAAGCTGTTTGCATAAATAAATAATAATTAAAATCTTACCGACATTTATTTAGCATACTAAAGTCGTACTAAATAGCTAAAATGTTTAAACCGTGTTTTTTTACGTATATCTACATGCATCTATGCTAATAATATGTGTATTCTTTGACCAAAGTGTTTAGTCAGTAAACAACGACTGGCGTAGATAGAGAAAATAGTGTTGTAGTTTTGGGCACATTTCAGCCAATATAGGCCATCGAAAACGCCTATTGTATGTTTTTGAATTTATATAAAAGTATACTTTTTTAGAAGAACTGCTTAAAAAAAACTAGAAAAAGGCGGTTAAAACTGGTAAAACAAGAAGGAAGCAAAGACAGCGACGAATTGACCAAATATATGAAATATTTGATAGCTCCAGCTCTTCAGAGGAATCTAGTCCGGAAACCAATGGAAAATATGTTGATTTCGAGTTAACAATTCAAAACAAGAACGAGTTGGACTTCTACTGCAATTTTAGTTTATTGCGTGAAAGGATGAATTATATATTTGGGCATACGAAGAACTAAAATGAATTAAATAATCATTTATTACTACTTTCATCAAGGATTTCTCAGTCTGCTTATTTTCCGAATCAAGTGCATGGTGGAAAATTTCGTATAAGCTGCACGTTTTACGTTTTTAAAATATTTAAATTTACTCATAAACACTCGCAACAGTTGTAAATATTAAACAACTGAGTGCAGTTTTTTTTCTTCCAAAAATCATTCACAATAGATTAGTTTTAAAATTTGGCATCATTGTAGTGCGAGGGGCTTATTCGTTAAGCACTTTCAGAAGTATAAGCTTATTTTAGCGCATTTTATTTTTATTTTGCCTGCTAATTTTTATGCACCACGTTATTAAACCGATCATGTTTCATAATAAAGCATTTAATTACAACTTTGTACAAAAAATTGTAATATAAATTTAATAAATAGTTTAATAACAATAATTTAACAAATTTTAGTTTTAATTATGAAAAAAACTATTACTAAATAAATTTATTAGAAATTTACTCACTTCGGTGTTTTCAAATTTTCAATGTTTATTTTTAATAGATTTTGACATTTTTTTTACAATTCTCTTAAGATCGTAAAAAAAAATTACGATATTAACACATTTGCAGACTTGCACAGAAAAATAATTACCAATTTTAAGGAGATTTAAGGTTAATCGAGATAAACTTTTATGTGGGAAATCTGTGATTAAATAACTAGATTAATACTTTAATCTCGATAATTTATTTAATCTGCTTTTAATCTCACAATGTAAACGCCGTATAAGTTGGTCTAAACGATGAAGCAAATCTGAACGAGTGTTGTCTTTTATAATAACAATATATAATGACTATGGTTTTCCCCCATCATAGCATGGATTTTTTTCACAATTTAGTTTAAAATATTTAAAATAATAGAATAATAAAATCAACCCAATTTGCACAATAAAAGGGGTTATGGTTAACTCATAATGGAATGGAAAGATGATTGTGTTTTAAAATTAATGAATCATACAGGCATAAAGAATAGGAATAAGTACAATAATTATATTATTTTTATATATTATATTATATTATATAATGTAATTACAATCAGCGCGCGCTTATGGCCTTTAAATTTAATCGCGATTACTGCACAAGAGAACAAATCAAATGAATGTTCATTCGTTTGCATGTCATTGAAGCACAAAATTGTGCGAACATTCTATTGCATTTATCAGTTGTCCAGATCACCTAGCAAATATAAGCGAAGGAAAGATCAAACTCTACACGAATTTCTTGCCAAACGCACACTCTGCCAAACATTGCCTGCGAATGTTCGTTCGTTCGCTTTGGTGTGGATACACCTTAAGAGAGATTTATAGATAATAACTTTCAAAATAATTGTACTGTTTTGATATCTTAGATACAATATTATATTGCTTCTTTCTTGTTAAAATAATTTAAACATCTGGATACCAGATTAATAGAGCACATTATTTTTTATTATGACTTTACATAAATTTTTATATCTGACATAATTTTAGAAATAGTATTCAGTAACCTATAATACTAAAATTTGACAGAAAAACAAAAATTATCTCGTATATATATATATATATGATAAAATAATTTAATTTCAACTAATTTGAATCTAAAACCTGCATTCCTGATTGATAAGAACATTTAAATTAAAACATTTGAATACAACCCTGCATCGGTTGTCAAAATAAAAACTAAAATTGACAGTTTGATTGAAGTGAAACTTTGGTGTGGTTTCGCATTTCGATTGGCATCTGAGATATATATTAAAGAATTGTTTAGTTTTATATATTAATTATTTGAAAATGGATAAAGGTAGTGCTGCATTGTTCAAAAAATTACAATCTGAACTAGAGACTTTTCAAAATCTACGTAAAAGTAAATCAAATAAACTTAATAATATCATGAAGAAACCTAATAAATAATGTTTATTTTAAGCTTGCGTAAAGTTGGTAAAACAGCGCACATTGTTGGAAAGTCAACTCAATGAAAACAAATGTGTGATAGATGAACTAAATCTGTTGGGCCCGGACAATAAGGTTTATAAATTATATGGTCCTGTGTTAGTAAAACAAGATTTGGAAGAATCCCGACAAAACGTAGCTAAACGTATAGAATACATTTCGAAAGAATTGAAAGGATCTAATGACACACTTGATAATATGGAGAAGGATATGGCTAAGCACCGTGAAACAATAGAAAAATTACAGCAACAATATCAGTTGCAAGCAGCTATGAAATAAAATTGGAACCAAGCGCAAAATAAGATATTTATAAAAGATAAAAAATGTTAGCTATATTTTCTTTATTTAAAAATTAAAATCCGATAAGAAATATATAACACGTCTCTACTATATTCACGAATATCCAATCATAAAAACAATACTTAATGATCGCAAAGTTTTTCATTTAGCAAATATATATTCTAGGATTCTGGTCATTTTCGTTATTTGTAGAGCCCATTGACAACACAATAATATATTATCAGAGACAAGGGAAACATGTTTTTATATATATAATGTGGTTAAGATAAAAATAGATTAAACATGGTGAAGCTAAATTAATTTCTGTAAACTGTAATGAATTAAAAAAAATGTAACATATTTCTTAAGACTATGGTTTATAGTACATAACTTAAAATTGGTATATTATTTACTTCCAACTAGATAAAGCTTATATAGCACTATATACAAAATTTGACTTAATAGCCTTTGATGTGTTGTGGTAGAATTAAAATATAAAGACCTTGCGTTGCAAGTAAAGCCGGCTTTGTATATCATTTCTAAAGGGATTCGAGTTATATACCACTATGCAGCGTAGTGTTATTCCTAACAATAAAAGAGATATAACCGTTTTGTTCAATAATTTGCAATAATAAAAATAAAGTGGAATTTTGCGTTTTGGTAGACAGGTAAACTATAAGAAAGTTCCATACATTAACTCAAAATTGATGAATTTCGAATTGGATTTCATCATGTTTAATACCCATCCTTTATCATACCATTCCATCTTATATTTTTTTTACAATTATTAGCTCAAGCATTAATTGCATTTGATGTTTTCTAAAATTAGTATATATTTATATCTGTGATTTTTATGGCAATTTTTGCGTAATTATATTTGTGAATTTCTATACAATTTTGAATCGGACTATATCGCCATTAGTTCGTAGTTCACGAAATTCTTAAAACTCTATACTATATATATAGAGAAGTATGTACTTCTCTATAGTATATTGTATCTTTAGTAAATATATATTTTATCGTCAACAGTTTATAATATACTTATAAACCATGAAATTTTTATATTGTATCTTTAGTAAATAGATATTTTATAGTCAACAATTCATAATCTATTATCTTTCTAAAGTTATAGTTTTACAAAGTTGCACAGTAGAATGAATAAATGTTATTAACTGTCGTTCTATTTAGTTCTTTTTGTTTACATATTTTACCTCCCAAGAATCTATAGAAAAATATTAATACTGCAATACATCTAACTTTAAATTAGGAACTCATAATAGAAATCATGTGGAGAAATTTCCAGAAATAGCCGAATAATATACAACAGTGCTTTTTTACGTGGGTGTACATAAGTTTCAACAAAATGTCTTTGATATATGCTTTTGTTAAAATATATTGTAACTGATGCAGATTATGCTTTGTAAAACTTAATCATTAGCTTTATATATTTTGACTATTAATTTTCAACAAGTTTAAAAAACAAATAGAAAAAATCATTTTTGCTGATACAGATTATCAATTTTGATGAAATAGAAAATCTTAACTTTCATATGTTTAAGTACTCCAGCGGAAAGGTGGAAAGGAAAGTAGGATATTCATTTAGTAGAAATCGTAAACAATTGATATTCTTGATTTAGTTTAGTTTATATTACAAAAAATGTACAGATTGTTTTAGAAATATGTTTGGCTATGTTTGTAATTCTATGAAGATACCACATTTACCATCTATACACTTTCGACAATATACAGTAGTCATTACACAAATTGCTCAAAACTGATATCTGTATTTGTGCTGGCGATATACCATAGATTATCTTTTAGTCAATCATCTTCGCTACTTTAACTAAAAGAGTGAATTTAATAGCTGATCTAATAATAACACTGTTATATTTTTTTTATTATTGGTTTATTTACTAGTTTACTAGTAAATTCATTGGTTTATTCCTACTCTATATCTAAATATTTCAATAGATAGATATTAACTTTAGTTTTTGATCATATAAACATCTGACAATTTGGTTATGAATAGTTATACATTATGATAACGACAAACTCAAGATCCAACCACATTTTACACAAATATCACTTATTATTCATATGCGTTATACTTATCTACACAATTTTTTATATTTGTGTATGCCCCAGCTTAGTTTACTTAACACATACATATATTCTTGTAAATGAAACATGTCAAGCGTTAATCACCGCTTCATTTGTATAGATCTAAAAATTAATTATGAAAATATAGTGAGATACAAAGGCTACAGTGGGCTGCTCATGAATGGGACCGGAGAGTAAGCCTAGCAGCATATACTACGCAAAGCGGGTGATACAGAGGCACAGAGGTAAGTCAAAAACAATATGGGATGAGAACGTGTATAGTGATCCAAAAATGATTCGAGTACTAAATTGGAAGAGAGTAGCAGAAGATCGTGACAGATGGAGGTAGATAACGAGAAAGTCCAAGATTCAGTCTGAGTCTGCAGTGCCAAGTAAGAAGAAGAAGATATGTTTTTGAAATCAAATTAAATTATTTTTTTTTATTGGATTTACCAATTCAATACTAATATCTTGAACAAACTTAACAGAGACATCTGATGTCATTCGTCAAATATACGTTTTAAATGTGTTATTAAACCAATTTGTTTCAATGAGCTTTCTAACTTATCGACGTCAAGTTTTTATTAACGTGTCATTTCTGCGAAATATATTACTTTAGTTGAAATATTTATCACATATTGTGCAATTAAAAAATTATAATATTTAAAGCAATTTACATAAATATTAACGGTCACTTATCGTTATTTGATATTTAACATTTTCCAACACTTTATTTTTGAAGCCCATAACAACGCAATGACGTGTGTTAAAATATTATTAAATGCACTGCCACAGTGTTCCACTATTTCAAATACGGTGCAAAATAAACTTTTTATTAGTGGATTAATTTTTTTTTTTTAATTTAATATATATTTATAATATGACCACCATTTTCCTATCTTTAAATTGTTTTGAGCGCAATTTTTTAGAGAGAAAATTTTAAATTTTTAATATATGTGGCAACATTGCAAGTTTAAGAACATAAATAAAAAAGAAAATTGTATAAAAACGATTTTCGGATGTGCCACGCAAAGACTTCAGAAAAATATATTAAATAAATAGAACACTTTTAATATTTGAAGTGATTGCAAAAATTTTGCGTTTAAATTCTACAAATTGACATAGACGAGTTATTTGTTCGTTTTTAAATTATAATCTTGCAATGGGAGCCGGACAGAGTGTTGAAATTCCTGGTGGTGGCACCGAGGGCTATCATGTACTTAAAGTCCAAGATAATTCTCCTGGTCAGAAAGCTGGTCTTGAAGCATTCTTTGACTTCATAATTGCGATTGGAGGTACTCGTCTCGACCAAGACAATGATATGTTGAAAGAATTGTTAAAACAAAATTTAGAAAAGTCGGTTCGGATTACGGTATATTCCAGTAAAACACAAACCGTCCGAGAACTTAACATAACACCTAGCGGCAGTTGGGGTGGCCAAGGCGTACTAGGTGTAAGTATACGTTTTTGTTCCTTCGAAGGAGCAAACGAAAGTGTATGGCATATTTTGGAAGTGTATCCCAACTCACCAGCAGAAACTGCAGGTCTACGTGCATACACAGATTATGTAATTGGTGCTGAAGCAATACGCCATGAACACGATGATTTCTTTATGTTAATAGAAACTCACGAACAACAACCACTAAAAATTTATGTTTATAATATCGAAGATGATGCGTGTCGTGAAGTCACTATTAGACCAAATTCACAATGGGGTGGTGAAGGTTCTCTCGGGTGTGGTATCGGTTATGGATACTTACATAGAATACCAATACAGCAACCACCTTTAGAAAAGAAACCGCTTACAATACCAACAACTGCAGCGACACCATCTATAACAACACCCGCAGCAGCGACTGCCACTGTTCCTTTGATTGCTCCAACATTGCCATATGTACCACCATTGACAAATACATTTACACAGCCTGCTGCAGCAATTGCAAGTGCTGAATCAACAAATATCAATTCTCCCCAAACAACACAAAGTGTCTTTAAAGCATATTTCAATCCTGATGATTCGGCGGATCCTGTCAATGCTGCACTTGAAGCAAAAAGTTCTGACGCAACATCCAGTAATACACAAGAAATAACAGAACTACCGAAGGATAATATACCGTCCACAGTCACAACGATGCCTTCCCCACAAACAATGCAAACATCAAATCCAACAATAGCACCGCCGTCTAATATTTTTATACCTGGAGTTTATGACAACAATCAACAATTTGGCTATACACCTGTTTCAGTGCCACCACCCACTGCTGTTCCTATGTTTGCTACTTCAACACAAAATCAACAGTATATGACTGCACCAATGACATTATCATATCCTACTGCTCAAACAGTACCATCGTATCCGCAAGTTCAGCCATCAATGGGAGGACTATATCCCACTCAAGGAACGCCTATGCCTCCACAGTTATTACAACAGCAGATGTTGCAACCAACTGCTTCAAATATTGTACCCATGCATACTACAAATATAATGCATCCATCGCTCGCTTCAGAAACTTCTGGTGTACCAATTTATACTCCTGTTAGTGCATCGGCAACACCAAATAATTAATTTTAACAATTATAATAAATTTTATGTCAAAGATTTCTTTTGTTTTTAGTAAAAAATATATATATATATGCAATCTGAACACTGGTTTTCCAAAATAACCAATGCGATTACAGCGGCATTGGCGTGTTTGTAACTAAAGTTAGAACAGTCTTGAAAAGTGAAAAAAAAATTAGTCACTTTTGGTTTTTTTTTAAGTCAAGCAAAATAAAATTATATTTATATCTGTAATTATATTAAAAATATATATACAATTAATAAATAACCTAATGCAAAGTAAATATTCAAATATTTTAATTATATTTACCCCAGACATACATATTTCTAAACCAAAAATATGTTGAAATTAATTGTTAAGTCATGAACAAAATAAAAATATCAGTTCGTTTGTATTATTATTATTCATTGAAAATTAACAAATAAGCAACTGTTCTTTATGTCCCCAACAACGATAATTATTATTCCATTGCTTGTCGATTGGATTTGATCTCTTTAAAATAAAAAAAAAATTTTAATGTATATTCAATGCCAAGACATTAGGTGGAACTATATAATTCAAAATTAAAAAATCTATAACTAATTATAGACATATACATAGGGAAGGTTAGGTTATACCGGCGATCCCTTGTGAATCCACTTAGGCCTATTGGCCCATTGTGTTACCGTATATGTAGGAAAAACTCAGGGTTTGAAACCACCTAGAACCTTTAGCGAAGCATAAATTGCTATTTAGTGTCAAGTCCTGTAAATGATCCAGGTCCTCAAGACAGGGGGCTCCTAAAGTATTAAGTCGCCGCCGTGCATGGGGTCATCGCCTTCCCCATAACTGCGACAGATTTCATTGAAAGCGAGACCTACTCTTCTAGCAGTGTTCCCTAGTTTATAGTGACCTGTAAGTAGGCCTACCAAAAGACCTACGGGGCATCTCAATGAGAATTTTGGATTGCCTGTATATCGTAGAGTTTTCCCATCTTAGACATATACATAACTGTATAATAATCCTAACAGCTAATTTGACTTTTGATATTTTTCACTTCATCGGTAAAAGATAAATTGCAATAATATATCAACATATTCGCATTTGAATTTTTTCTAACCCATTACTTTGGTAAGTTGTTTATATGTTGTTGTAATCCGCTGGGACCTACTTGTGAAGTCTTTTTGGGAGGTGTCGAACAGCATTTGATCGTCGGTTGGTGTTGAGTGATTTCGGTGCGTAGACCCGACTGCTGCAGGGTATTTCACCGGCTTATTTTTTTAATTATCCTTGGTTAAAACAAAATAATGTATTGTTATGGTAGGTATCTCAGAATAACAGTTTTTCAAAATATTAAAAATTCAGTTTTTTTAGAATTTTTCTAAATTCTAAATTCATCATTAGCTGTCCTCTTAATAAATTTTTAAAAAGCTATGTCTCTATATATTTAGTTCCGCTATACAACTAGATATGCATAACATATCTAAAGTTACTAGATCTTTCGAATCTTGCCAGAAAACACGATTATTTCAATTTTAAATTTCATCATTCAAAAATATTTCCAACTAATCAATGAACTACTTGGGCTACAGTAAGAACAACATAAAGTATTAAACGTTAAACCTCTTTAATAATTATTATTATTATGATATATTCTATTAATTATAATCACAATTCAAGAACTTAGTCTATTCCCATATGCTCTCCAGACACCCCTATTAAGCGCTAATGCTCTAAGCTTGCTGGCGATTTGTTAGTTTTCCTGTTTATGAATCTTCTCCATGTAGTTTTTGACCATCCACGATTCATTCTACCTTGTGGATTCCATTATAATGCTGAGTGTGCGATTTCACTAACCGGTTTCCTCTTCAATTACAAACTGTTTATATTTGTAATTTTAATTTTAAACAAACAATTCTGTTCTCATGGTTACAAAATAAAAATTTTGATCGATTTAACAAGAAAAAAAATTCAAATTCATTGTATTTCAAAAAATTGAAATAAATAAATACGTTTTTATTTTTTCAATTCAAAACATGCAGAATTTTGTTAATCCAGAGGAACTTGACTATTTTGTAGAAAGCTTACGCCCGTTTCCAGTACGAGAAGTTGGAAATGCAAAATGGCTGGAAGTACATGAAATGATTATCAAACTAAGCCAACAAGCAACGCTTGAGGCAATCGAACACCGAGAGGAAGAGGTTCGAGAATTTCTGTGTATGGCACATAAGCTAAATGTGCTTGTTCATGAGGCATACTGTATTTTTTTGTGGAAGACTCGGGTTCTGCCACACTTGCTAGAAATTGATCCCAATCCACAAGCAACTTTTTTGATTTATACGGTACTATTTCATGAAGCAGCGGTTATATCCCTACTAGATACGACTCTATTTCATAGCAGTGCTTGTGAAGTTTTAAAGGACTCTGCAATCGACCTAGTTGATTACTGTGCACAAGGTGTGGCTCAACTTATTGGTTTAGTCAGGTAAGTTTGCAATGTAAAATAAATCAAAAGCCATAACAAAAATATTTTTTTATAAAGCATGGGTTATCATGAAAATGAGACCAATCTAGATGTTGATGAGGCAGTCCTAACTGAACTAGAGCGCCAGAAACGTGATATTATATATAAAATTGGTCTGCGCTGTATTTCAATTTTAAACTATTTGGCTGACAACACTGTATCACTGCCTTTAAGTGCTACACGTCGTATGGTTGTTACTCATGATGTTCCTTGGCTAATGACTGAAGTCTTACATTTTCGTCCCTGGCAGAAACAAACCAAAAATGGTGTACAGAAAATTATAGGTATTTCTCGATGCACAAACTAATAAGTAACACTTAATTTTATTTCATTTAGATGACAAATGGAAGCCTATACCAATCGCTGATATGAGCGAGGTAACTAAACACGAAGCGCATGCATGGTTTTGTCTAAGACAGCTGTTGTTTAACAAAGCCATAATGCAAAATTATGAATTCAATAGTGAAAGATGTAAGCAGTTATCCAAGGTAAATAATAAATTTACATATATATTACATAAAATTTTTACATATATTTAAAAAAAAACTTGTCGATCTAAAAGTGCCAAGGTTTGCTGAATGATATCGTACTTGATCAACTACCACCTCTCATCGAACTTAAACAATTCCTTTGCCAGCTAAGTGTTACAGCTGTATCCAATGACAGTAAATCGAACTTATTATTGGAGGAGGTACCTGAAATATGTGAAAACCTTATCAAGGAATCGGAGCATGATGGAGGTTTTTTAGCCATAGCTCAGGCTCAAGAAAACATATTTTTATGTAATGATAAAAACAAAATAATGGAAATGGCTAAATGTCTATCGAATGCCTACAGCACAGATTTACTAGTTGAATATGAGCAGAGGATCGAAGAAACCGAAAAACATGGAGATAACATTACACTTGATACTCGCAATGATGCAGATATTTCCGAAAATAAATTGTCATTATTCTGCGCCAAATGCGCTGGTCACGCTACAAAAAAATGCGGCAAATGCAAGAACGCCTACTACTGCTCGCGGTAATTATGTGCAAGTCACTTGTAACATAAAACAATTGTTGTTTATTCTTTTTTTAGGGCGTGCCAGCAGGCGGATTGGCCAAATCATAAAGGCACTTGTGTGGAGAAAAACTAACAACGTGGTGCGATGTTTTTTAAAATTTCAATATTTCAATTAAATACACTGTTTTCATTTGTAAAGAAAGCGAGAAATAAAATAAATTTATCTTGCATTTATTTTAGTAAAAAAAAACTTTCACTTTATCGCGACTCCCTCAGAATTTTTCACTTAATTTTTGTTTCTTCATTTGTTTTATTAAATTAAAACAATATTTGTCTATTGGCTGAATATTAATTTAATTAATTTGTCTGAGGTGGTCTTTCACAACATCCAGGGCTTGTGTCTCTTCACCAAAGTCCTTAATTACAACAACTGAGCAGCCACATACCTTACGGGGCTTGCCTTCTTTGTCAATTTTGCACAAACCGGACCACTCTCCAAGTTTTTTGTGTGAATCAACACGGATCAAAGGAATTTGATGTTCATGGCAGAGTGCGGTAACCAATTTTTTATAATTTGGTTCATCAAATGATTCAGCCAAAATGCACAAAACAGCTTGACGTCTAAAAGTGTCAACATTGATATCAACAAAATCATATTTTAATCGATAACACTTGAACTTACTTGTCCAAAGCTTTGCAAGCCTGATGAATGCCATGTACAAGACCATCGGCTATCAAAGACTTCTTTAGCACTTCTTGAAGAGCTGTATTTATGTCCATAGCACCACTAGAAATTGGTGCGGCAGAGGGTACATCACTGAAAATTAAATAGAGCATAATTAAAACCAACACTCATTTTGGAATAATCACAATTAAAAAAACATTAATTTACTTATATATAAAGCGCGTTCATGATCATCTGTAGATTTTGTTTGTATCAAGATTTTGATCATTGAAACCGCTTTAATATCATAGTAATAAACTTACACATCAACGTCAGCCATTTTTCAATAAATTCGTCGTCTTGATACTAAAATCAGAAAATAGAATAACATTTATTATAACGATGGCTTTCATATTTAACAATTAATTTACTATATATAATAAGAAAAATTCTACTGCTTTCGTACCTTTTTGACAACCGGAAAGAAAGAGAAGATAATTTGCCGCTAACTTCATTGTGTTTTCCTTTTGTCGTCTGTTCAGTGTCTGCATTACATAGAGTATGTTTAATGTTATCATCTTTTCCATATATAATAAGTGTATTCGAATACGTCACTTGCAATTGATAAAATAATAAAAAGTTTAATTTTGTTTCTAATTTTTGGTTTTTATGTCGAAACTAATGTAAAGTCTGTTTTGTTTTACTAAAAATAACTCTCGCAATAAAAGTTAAAATTCTTATAAAAACAAAACCGACTTAACAATAAAAAGTTACTTTTATTTTTTTATTAATGTATGCGAACGTAAGAAAAAGAATAGCGTCTAGTTTATACAACTTTCGCACTTAGTTTTCTCGAACGATTTTCTCACTTTTAACAGTTACTCGAAATGTTTGTCAAAAGTAAGAAAAATCGAAGTTCAGATGAAGTTTGGGCTTTTGGTTAATGCTTCTCGAAGCACCCTTATTTCATCAGCAAAGCAGAATGGACAGCTTGGACATGACGAGAAAATTAAAACTCATTTATCATTAAGGATGGATACAGTTCCGCAATTGGTTTCATATAGACCACTTTCTTACGATTATTCTGTGGATAAATAACTTTATCGATTGGAAAAAACAGGAGTAGATACACGTACAAATTGTCAAGTTAGTATTCGTTTAAACTATTCCACAGGTTTAAACAATAACGTTGAAGCAAGTTTTCATTTGAAAAGAAATATTTAATAGTTTACAAGACCGTAATTTTCAACACATTTAGATTTTAATGACGCATATACGCAATTTGATACCAATGACAGATCAAACGACATTTTAATTAACCTATAAACACCCATCATGAATTATAAGAGTTTATTAAATTGGTTCGACTATTAACTCCTCCCTAAGCGCATTTCAATAATGCATAGAGAAAATCCTAGTAGGCATTTATGACAGAACAAGATATCTCAATGATGTTGTTTTCACAAACAAGGATTTTAATCAGCTTACAAAATCAATAACATTAATTTTACAAAGTTTTACAGAATATAATTTAAATTTGGAGTAAATGTTTTTTTTATTAAAACTTAAATATCCATCAAACATTATCGAACTAATATTTAACGTTGCAAATTTGTATTTCTTTACATCGAGTTTGATTTATTAAAAAAATCACAACAATCTGTGATATAGCACAATAATCAAATGGAAATATCACTTAATCAAAAACATGGAGCTATAGATCTCTAGTTTTAATGAGTTGGATAAGAAAATTTTTACCAAAAAGAAGTTGACATGAACCAAATGCAGCGACTTGCGGCAGATGTTGAGCAAACAAAAAAATGAGGATACATCAGTTCCATTTAGCATTGTAAGATGCGTTACTATCTACAACGCAAAGAAGAATTTAACTTTTATATTTCCTACCATAGCTTGCAATGCAATTGGCAATCTCAATTCACTTCATTTGCTGTAACTCAAACCTCGATATAGGATTTGATTTTCTCATACTTAATAAGAATGGCTGAATTAATATAATTTTTATTGATTCAGATTAATTGCAATAAATAGAATATTTTTATTTTTATTTGATTTAAAAATCAGTTAGACTGCAGTATATGTGAATTTTGTGTTTAGTATTCAAGCGTGTTTTTTAGTGCGAACACATCACATGTTGCGATCACATTGGTTGCGAATTAACAGTTCTGCTTTGTTTTAAAAACAAAATGATTAGTGAAAATAAAATATATTTGTTTGGCAAGGCATAAAAATGAAGAGTTTACCTGTTCCTAAACCAAAGAAATTAACAAATCAATTTACTTGCTAAAAGTAACAAATCTGTTTTCTTATTTATATTTTATGTAGAAATCAATTTGACTGCAGTTACATTGCATGCAAATTTTGTAATGCGTGTGCGCACATATGTTTTCTCATACGAACACATCGCATGCTGCGATTACATTGGTTGCGAATTGACAGTTCTGTTTTGAAAATAAAATACATTGTGAAGTTCCAATCCGTTATTGAATTATTTATTAATTTCAAACAACAAAAGAGAAAGATGGGTGCATGATTTTTATTCACCAAAACATAAAAATAAAGAGTTTGCCAGATCTTTTGGTAAATTAAAGAAATGCGATCAAAAGTTTTTTGAATCTGCCAGAATAAAAAAAGCAACTTTCCATTATATCTGAATGATATTCCATCTAAAATGATCAAGAATTTTAACTTTCAAAAATGCAGTTTTCCAAAGAATAAATTAATTCTTACAATATGGTAAGTGCTTACAATACAATACGCAACCAATTCGTAACAATTTCAACTTATCTTGATTATATTTTATTATTATTTTTTTTTAATAGTCTATTATTTATTCATAACAAATTTTCATTATTAATAAATTAACAAAATATAATCCTTTCCTTTAATTAATAATTAAAATTAAACACAGCAAGTGAATTTGTTAATAAAACTTTCACAGAAAAGTAACAAAACTCCAGAAAAATGTGCGAACATAAAAGTCAAGTACAGCTTTGGGTCAGTTGTTTAAGGTGCGCTTACTCTGAGTTTCAAATTTGGCAAGGCACGAGTTTGAAAGCAGTACCAGCTTTCAGTCTCAAAAAAAAAAATATTTACGAATAATTAACTACAAGAATTATTTCCAAAACCACTGATGATGGGTATTTGGAAATATTTAAAACAGCTGTATGGTCAGCCAAAAATTCAATTAATTAAAATAATATAATTTGAATTTTTGTTGTTGTTGTTCAACAATGTTCGAAAAACCTCTTTGTTTTTTTATTAATAATTAAGAATGTTGTACTAAGTCTTCACCGAAATAAATTAATAAATGTTGATGCTTCGAAATTAGTTTTTAGACTGTTTATTGAATTTTAATATTTTTACATAGTTACTTGTTAAGGAACAGCGTGCATTAGCATAACGTCAGAATTTGCTGAATTGGCGTCTTCACACGCCAGCCTAAATGCTATAGTCAAACGGATGCTAGGGCTCAACTGCACAAAGTGCAATAAAGTTAGAAAAAGTAACAGCATGCTTATTTACTCACATAGCATATGTTTATGCACGCTACAATGTGTTCACAATAAAAAGCGCTAAATAATTATAATTAAAATTCTCTTAAAGTTGCCAACTAATAAAATTAGGAAATCCCAATATATTTTCTTAAACTGAGATATATTTTCAAATATATTATCTCTTAATTTGCATTTTCGATTTCGCACACACTAATGAATTTCAAACAAAATACTTTGTTGAATCAAATTTTCGCACGAGAGAGACAATAAGTCGAAAAGTTAAGCGAAAAGTTCTCAGCAACTGTAACCACTCGCATATGATTACGGACATTTGATTTGTTCGTACGAATACGCTAGACAAAATTTGCATGCAATATAATTGCAGCCTTAGGCGGTTTTATATATTTTACAGAAACCAATTAAAGGATTTTAACAAATTATAAGACTACGCTTTCTTAATTATTTGATTGTACACTTTTAATTAAAAAAATACGATCTTGTATTTTAAGGGTAAGAAATTAAATTTATATGGCACTTATTCAGATTCGTTCAGTATAAAAATATTTAATGCTTAGAGAGGTATGAGCTGCCTATTTTCTTTTATTTTGTTCTACAGTCCTAACAGCTGTTTAATTTTTTTTTTACTACTACCACGTTGTTCTTTTTTTATAAATTTGATATTTTTAAAAAGTCTTCTGTCATTTCCCTCCTAAACTAGGAGTGCGACAACAGTCGAGGTTTCGGATGGTGATAAGCTCTTTTCTAGAAAACTATAAAGTTTTTTGCAGAACAGTTTTAGGAAAAATTGTTTAAAATGGGGAAAGATTTAAGGTAAAAAATTGTCATATCAAAATGTGATATGTTGGAGTAAGTTATCAAAATTCAAGTAAACAATCCCAGCCATAGGCGATCAAAATGTTACCCGGATATTGGTGGTGTATGTAAAAATAGTGCTTTTTATTTATGAACTTGACCCTTTTGTGTCTTTTTTTGCTTATCAAAAACGCTAAACATTGAAAATATATTTGTTTTTGTTAAAATTTTTATATATAGATTTATATTTTAAGTGAATCCAAGAATCTTATGGGGCACAACAAGAATTCCTTTAATAAACTTACTGCGTGCGAGATTTGTGAAAAACCAAATTGTGTCAAGAAATTTCGCAGAATGCAGGTATATTAGAAAAAAAAATAAATTGTCATTAAACACAACTCATACTACGTTACCGACTTACATAAACTTTAATAATCAATTTATTTTGAAAAATTTTAGTACTTGAAAAAACTATAAATCTTTATGTGATAATTGTGTTAATTGTTTAGGTTTTTAGCGTCTAATACTTCGTCGATATCTTCATTAAACAATGCTTGCAAAAATTGTGAGTAATTTGTTATCAACAGTAAACAAGTTTTTATATCTTTTTTGTTACTTAAGTAATGTTTAAGTAGTAAACAAACTTTGCATTGACTAATGTTTGATTATTGCATTTATATGGCTCATATAAAATAAAACTTCTCTAAGTTTCAGAAAGATAGAATATTCTTTAGACAGGTATACATACATATAAAGGGTTCTTACTTTATTTTCGGGAAAACCACAAGTCCGTCCAATAAAGATACTTTTGCCTTTAAATTTGTGTGTGTAAACTTGAAAGATAATTAATTTTTTTATTATTATTATTTAAAGTGTTTGCAATCTTGTGCATATATAATATTTCTCTTATTTTACAGTCATGGTAAACTCGTAGGTTTTGGAAATCCACTACTTGATATTTCTGCGCATGTAGATACGAAATTTTTAGAAAAGTATGGTTTAAAAAGTAACGATGCAATATTAGCAACAGAAAAACATATGGAAATTTTTCAAGAACTTGTCAAAAACTACAAAGTTGAATATATTGCAGGTGGATCAGTACAAAATACACTGCGTGTTTGTCAGTGGATAATAAATAGACCTTGCACCGCTGTATTCTTTGGCGGCGTTGGCAAAGACAAATATGCAGATATTATAGAGGAAAAGGCTCGTATTGATGGTGTCGATACTTTGTATCAAGTCAACGATAAAGCACCAACGGGAACATGCGCAGTTTTGATCACTGGTAACGATCGGTCTTTAGTTGCAAATTTAGCAGCGGCCAATTTTTTCACAGAAGATCATTTGAAGATACCGGAAAATGATGAAGTTTTAAAAAATGCCGAGTACATTTATATATCTGGATTTTTTATTTCTGTTAGCCCGCCTAGTATCAGGAGAGCAGCTAAGATTGCCGTAGAAGGTAATCGCTTTTTCATGATGAATTTAAGTGCAGTCTTTGTACTAGATCTTTATAAAGATTTTATTATGGAGATATTTCCATATGTTGATACGCTATTTGGAAACAGAGAAGTAAATATTTGTAATGATAACTATTGTATCATTATTTTGTTATTCATAATTTAATATTAATCATAAATAGGAGATGTTGGCTTTTTCCGAACATATAGGCAAATGGGACACCAAGGATGTTATCAAAATTGCACAAAATATGGTCAAATATGAAAAAGTGAATAAAAAGCGAAAAAGACTAATAGTTATTACCCAAGGTTATGATCCAGTATTAGTAGTACAAGAGGATAGCGTAAAGGAATATGATGTGCCGAGAGCAACCCTAATAGTTGATACAAATGGTGCTGGTGATGCTTTCGTTGGCGGATTTCTTTCGCAATTTGTAAATCGAAAAGGTCTTAAGGCCTGCTTACATTGTGGAGTGTGGGCAGCTTCAAAAATAATACAAACTCATGGGTGTACTTTTGATGGTCCAGCAGATTATGTTCCTCTTGATGAATCTAAACAGTGAAACTTTAGCAAGAAGCAATAAATCAAATTCAATGGTTGTCAATTTTATATAATTTAAAAAAATTTTATACTGTTTCATCTTTGCAATAATGTTTAATATTAAAAAACAATTTAACACTCTCTATAGTTTAAGCTGCAATATGTAAATATCTACTAAAAGACAATACGCTTTATAAAATATAAAAATAAATAACGTATTTTCACTGAAAGTTATTCCTAGAATCTTGTGATTTCTTTCATTTATTGACGGAACTTACGACAGCGTGTGTTTTTATATTTACATTATATTTTAAGAGCTTTTTTTTTGAAGTTGTATTTAAGATGAGTAATACAAATTTTTCTCATAATATCGCATACATTTGCATTTCCATTATATTATTCCATTTCCAATCCAATAACCATACTATAATAAAAAAATATAGAGGAACTATATTTGAATAGTTTATTATAGTATATTATATTAGTAAAAATTATTGCTTTATATTAATAAATGAGGATATTATCTTTTAAAAATTATTATTATTATGTTGGGGCTAGTTGAGTCAGTGCACTTAAGCACCTTTACTCTCTATTAACTGTGAGGTTTCTTCATAACCCCTCTCTACGCCTTGACTGGATTATTGTTTATCACTTCATCAGACTAAGCAATAATTGACCTCAGATCTGCAAACCTCCCCGAGGAGCCTGTAATCATTCTGAAATTCGATAACGCGGTGTTGGTAAGCCTGCTAGTTTTCGTAAATAATTTCAGGGTTCTATCCTTTATGTATTTTTTGATCGAATTAAACTTGAGGTCCCTGAGGATTCGTCCTAATGTACCATGGTACCTTGAAAAGTCTGCTCAGAGCCTGGCTTTGTGCAATTTCTAGCACATTCAAATGAAATATACTAACACACGTCTAAATAATCATTTCATATATAATAAACGTATTAGGCGGTTAATTGTCATATATAAACACACCCATCTACTTTCAATGTGTGCCCTCATTGCAGCTTCTACTCCCTAATAAGCTGCGTATCTGTCTACCTATCCGAGCATAGATACTTATTTAAACCCTATGGTTTCGTGCAATTAATACGGCAAAGTTTCTTCAACTTCACCCAGATTAATTAATATTATTCGCATCCATCCCTTTTTCTTACATTCTTTTTGTGTAAGTGTTGTCATTTCTATTTCTATATGTTCTTGCTTTTTAAATTGCTATGGACTATAATAAAAACTCGTAAATTTAAACACATGTACTGTTCAACGCCGTTATGAACAATTATGGATGCTTTATGGTAATGATAATTCTGATAATTCGTTCTTAAAATGCCACCATCTCACGTAGTTTATAAAAAAAAATTGATGAAAAATTCTAGAAGATCGTTTAGTACAGTATTCAGAGTTAAACTGCTGTAGAAATTATTTTGAAACATAAGCGTTCGACGATTTTAAATATGTACAATAAGTCCGTATGTCTTTTAGCCAACTCATTATAATAATTTGCATAACCTTCAGTTCAAACATTCCAACTGTTCCTTTGTTAGATTTACATATAAATAATAATTTCCATTACAGTAATTCAAATCGGAAACTCAAATCTCTGTACATCCAATTGAACGTACATAAAAAATAATGCTGATTAAAAAATTTTGCTTTAAGTTTTGAATCGCAGGTCAAAAAAAAAGTTTGACACTTGAGCTGATAAGATAATTTTCAAAAATATTTACTTTTACATACGTACTCATAGTTCTATATCATACTATTAATTGTATTTGTTGGTTATAATGTACTATTTAAAATAATTTCCTTTATATATATATATATATATAGTTTTTTTAACACCATGTCTATTTCAGATTAATTTAAATAAAAAGATAAAGAGATTTTTGTGTACGATTTATTTCTGAATAAAGTACTTATAATTTAAATATAATGAATAAAACTGTATGTATTCTAAAAGACATTAAGATACTTATTATATTGGTATCGAATTATATATGGAATAATTTAAATATTTCAAATCGAATTGTGTCTTCTATTATTTTTTGAATTTTTTAATAAAATATTGAATAATAAAATCATTTAAAAAATTATTGGACTTATCTTATTTACCGTTAATATTATAAGTTATGGGCTATATATAAATATTTAATTTGAATTTAATATTTTAAGAAAAAAAATTATTCTTTAATAATAAACGCGTTTATGCATGCGTCTTGGTAAACTTATGATGTGCGTTTAGCAACATATTTAATTAGCAACTGTACCGGCTGGCGAATTATTAGACAATTGACCCGGTACCGAAAATTGTGGTCTAAAAGTGGAAAAGTTTCCTGCAGGTCCTCCGGCAAAGGCTGGAAGTGTAGTACCTTGAAATCCAGGTGGGAATTGAGCCATCAATTGAGCTAAGAAACACAAAAAAATTAATAATATATTTTATTATTATTCATTTATATAAATACCTGCATTAGACGCATTGCCTGCTGTAGCTGCTAAACGCGATAGAATGGAACGTTCAGACATTTGTAAACGTTGTGCGACTGGTGGTATACGTGCCAAAGTGGCTGGTAGACGTGACACATCACTTTTCATATCTGATAACAGTTCTTCAAGTTGATTAAGAACCTTATGTAAAACTGCATTTGCTGGTTTATTGCCCGCTAACGATTCTTTGCTCAAATGTTGATGAGATTCGGCTAGGCATTCCACCTCAGCAAATCGTGCATTTAAGGACATAGCTGGATGTCCTGGATCTTGCGCCAAATTCAATAAAGCTGCACGGCGTAATTGTTCTTCAATAACCAAAGCCTGCTCAAGTAACTTAAAACGGCGAGCAAGGAATTTATTTTTAATTTCCAGAAAGTTTCCCTTACCCACATCCATTTTAAACGGTTCATTTATTATAGCAAAACGAATATCGTTTTGTATATCTTGCCAACGTCCATAACCATGTGTTACTATACCTGCCAGCAACCAATAGTCATGACGACGGTGCCATATTTCATATTCACGTCCTGGTACAGCTGCTTTCTCTTCATTAAGCCAAAGAGTATGTAACTCAGTGAAACCTCCGTCAGCAATGTTGAACATAAATTTGCGTTTAAGCACTTCCAAACTCTCTTCGATTTTTGGTTTTTGTTCTGATTTAATGCTCAAAGATCCAGAACCTGATGTATTTGCGGAAATTGAAGGTTTCTCTACTTCACCGTCCTCTTTAACAATAAGAACATCATCATCATCGTCGTCAATAGTTGTTGTGTTATTACTACTGACGTCAGCTATTTTGAGTTTTTCATCTGAGTTACCAGATTTTTCACCAGTGCTGATTTTAGTTATATCATCTTCTTTTTTAACGTTCAATGTATTTTGCTCTTCTTTTGTATCTTTTTTCGAGAAATCCAAGCCTTCCTTATCTTTATCAAGTGATTCGGTTTTGATGGTAGAATTTGAATCAATTTTTTCCTCTTTAGGCTCTGTAAGAATATCGGGTTTTTTCTCATCACTACCATCAGATTCTTTTTTTAAATCTTCCTTCTCGGCAATGGATTTGTCTTCACCTTTTTCGGATGTAGGTGCTGGGCTTGGCGCAGCACTAGTAGCTGGTGTAGCACTAGTACTTGTTGTAGCACTTTTATCATCTGTTTTTGTGGCGTCTGCATCGCTTAAATTTTCTTGTTTCTGTTGATGCAATGGTTGTTGCCCTCTAACTGGTTCGCATGGTTTCAAAATTAATTCCGGCATACTATAGTAACCGTTAATATGTTCAAAATCTTGAACTTTTTTGCGTATAAGTGACATAACACCAATTCGGGTTAAAACATGTTGACGTGATAGCCCTTCACGTGGTACTCCATCCGCAAAAGTTTCTGCATTATCTGCACCAGGTTCACATAGATGGCGCATAAAAAGCGACACATATGCCTTAAAGTTTCGTTCTGATTTACCACGCAAATCTCGTACTAACCATTGCGAATTAAACGCATCTTGTGGCGGCATACCATAACGCATAATGGCATTGAGAAAACTTTTTCGTTGACGTGCGTTAAACCCAAGTACTTCAATATTGCCTCCTACACGTGCTAAAAGAGCAGGCAATGGTCGATCATCGCGTCGCTCAAGTCGACGTTTAGCTTTTCGTCCTTCGCCACCGTTTTGTTCATCAAAATCGTCATCACCTGCATCTTCATCCGAGCCAGCGGAATAATCTGAGTTGTATTCTGAAGCATTGTCTTGCCAGTTTCCATCATCACGCGTAGTATCTGCAGCTACTACTCCTCCATCGGTGTAGTTAACTTGTTTACGAACCCGTTTGCCTTTGCCTAAGGTGCGACTTACATCCTCTTGATGTTGTTCATAATGATGTCTTAAAAGTTTTACCCAATATGCTGGATCTGAATTTTCGGCTTCTTGTTTAATAATTTCGGTTTCTTCTTCTTCTTCCTCTTCCTTCGTAGCATAAGAAGCAACCTTAAATGAAGACAGATATTCATTAGCCCAGGACTCTTTTTCTTCGATGCCTCGGTTAGAGCGATCCAAAAGCTCTGCAACTGCTTTATCATCATAATGTATAGCTTCTTCTTTATCATCTTCTTTAAAAAGATCCTCGGTACCAAATCGTAATATGTCATCCAATTCTTGTTTAGTAAAGTTAGCACCCTTGCCTCCCATACCTGGACGTACAACTAAATGTGTCAACATCATCTTACGTTTTGCTACTTGCGTAACTCGTTCTTCTACCGAATTACGTGTTACAAAACGATAAATCATTACTTTATTTGCTTGACCAATACGATGAGCACGTGAAAATGCTTGGATGTCATTATGAGGATTCCAATCGGAATCATATATAATAACTGTATCTGCAGTGGCCAAATTGATACCTAAACCTCCAGCACGTGTACTTAATAAAAATACGAATTGTTGGGCACCTGGTGCGTTAAAGCGATCGATAGCCTCTTGGCGCAAATTACCCGTAATGCTGCCATCAATACGTTCATATTTATATCCTTCACCTTCAAGAAAATCTTCTAAAATATCCAACATTTTTGTCATTTGCGAAAAAATCAAAACACGATGTCCTTGTTCCTTCAATTGCTTTAACATTTTAGATAAAAGTACTAACTTTCCCGCAGCTTTTGTCAATGAATTTATTTCGTACATGCCGCCTGCTGTCGTTGTAGCTTCCTCTGCTGCTGATGGAAATAGATATGGATGATTACAACATTTCTTCAAATCCATCATAACATTAATAAGTGAGCAAGAATTACCGCCACTTTTGGAATTAAGTGCTTCATAATTTTTCGTCAGAATGAATTTATAAAATTTCTTTTGCATGGTTGATAATTCAACACGTACAATAAATTCAGATTTTGATGGCATATTTTTGAGTACATCCGCTTTAAGACGACGCAACATATGAGGACCAAGCATTTCATGTAAACGTTTAACTTGTTCTTCTTTTGCTACATCGGCGAATTCATTTTGAAATGCATTCAAATCGCTAAATTTATCTCTACTTAAAAAGTTTAATAAGTGAAACAGCTCTTCTAAGTTATTCTGTAGTGGTGTACCCGTTAACAGCAATTTGTATGCAATATTATAGCTATTCAATATACGGAAAAATTTACTCTGGTTACTTTTAAGTCGATGCGCTTCATCAACGACTAATACAGCCCAATCAATGGACCCTAAGCATGCTCCGTCCATCGAAATCAACTCGTAACTGGTAAGCAAAACATTGAATTTAAATTGATTAGTGCGTAAACGTGAAGCTTTTCCACCCCGAATTGCACCTTCTTCAAACGAAAGTTCATTTTCACGGATAACAGCTCGAGAATCTTTATCTCCTACATAAGTGATGCAATAAAAATCAGGTGCCCATAGTTCAAATTCACGCTCCCAATTGATAATTGTTGAAAGTGGAACAGCAACTAAGAACGGTCCTTTGCAGTGTCCCTCTTTATAAAGTGAATACAGAAATGTAACAGTTTGAATTGTTTTTCCTAAACCCATTTCATCTGCTAATATGGTATCAATACCTTGTCCCCAAGAGTACCGCAACCAATTTATACCTTCAATTTGATAAGCATGTAGCTGCATTCCAGTATCGTCAAGAAATGGTGGTTGCGATTCGTATTTCCTTTTAAGATCTGTTGTAGGTTTTTCTGGAGGAGGTGTAAAACGTTTAGCAGTCCGATCTTCATCTTCTATTTCTTTAACTTTAGATTTACGACCTTTCTTTCCTTTTTTAGAAGTTTTTGAGTTAATCGAATCAGAAACACAGGCTGCTCTTAGGTCTTGATAATAATCTATAGCTTGTTTTAAGCCTGGCATATCATCAGATTCGTCTTCCCATGTCGATTTATCATAAGGCAAGTCACGCCATTTTACTAAGTACATTGTTGTGCCATCGCGAGCTGTACGGTGATTTATAACGCGTTGAACGATTAACCACTCTGGCTTAACACCATTTTTATAGAAACGTTCTTCCAAGTCTTTTTTATATGCATCGTCTTCATCATCCACTTGTATACCACCTTTAGCTTTATGCCTTTGAATACGTTGAAAACGCGAATCACCTTCATCAAGGGTTTCTTCAAATTTCGGAGGTTCCTCCATGTCATATTTGCGTTGGAAAGAACGTATCATCAATGGATGATGTACATCCATTTGAACATCAGAAATCCATTCACAGTGCCAGTATGACATATTATGCCACTTAACGAAATATTCACGTTGACGGCTCTTTGATTTCTTTGACGTAGATGGTTCTGTTGATTCTGCCCAACGCCATGTAATAATTTTCTCTGCTTTACCAGTAAGTGGTGGACAGCTGCAACGTGGGCATTTCCAATCACCATCAGGTATTGTATCTAAAGGAGGATTCAGGCAGAATGTGTGATAAGCCGATGGGCACGAATCACAACAAAGCAATTCACCACCATCTTTACACAAACGGCAAAACTCTTGATGTTCATCATCATCGTCTTCTTCTGCAGCACCACCATCGGCTTCACAATGTGGACAAGACCATTTACCTTCTGGTGCTTCGTCTAATTCTGGCTCAAGACAAACTAAATGGTAAGCTCGAGGGCATGTGTCACACAATATAATTTCACCACCTTGTTGGCAGACCTCGCAATAATCTTGATGTTCCTGTTCACCATCATCCCCATCAGGAAAACGGCTCGTAGTCTTAAGCTTCTTTTTCTTTTTAAATTTGTTACCTATTTTAGTTTTAGCCTTTTTCTTGACCACAGGTGTAGCATCCTCAGCAGGTGTGTCACCTTTTTCTTGAGTAATTATAGAAGATTCTTTTTCATCAGCACTATCATCGGACTTTTGTAGCATTTTTTCAAACTCTAAATCTGAATCGCGCTCTGAAGCGCCACTAGCATCTTGATCTTCATCTGAAGAACCACGCTTACGTTTACCAAATTTAATTTTCAAAGTCGGAACTTTTCCTGATGATTTACGACCTTTTTTGCTACTTGAACGACCTCCCCTTTTACGACGAGAGCGAGAAGTTTCTTTTTCTTCTTCCTCTTCCTCCTCTTCATCTTCTTCTTCATACATATCATCAGGCTGTAATAGTTTATATACAAAAAAAATTTAAAAAATTTTAGAAAATAATCAATATTTTATTTACCTTTTCATTTCGTGATGAACGGGAGGATCTTGGTTCTTCGGCTTCTTCACCACCACCACCGCCACTACCACGGGTTTGTTCGGCTTGTAAATTTGGATTCATTTCACAAAATTCACGCCATTTTGCTGCAACTAACATCATTAATTTAGGTGCTGGAATTTTAGGATTTTCCTTTTGTAAAATTGGTCGCACATATTGTGTGAACAATTTATATGAAGTTAGAGTTTGAATATCAATTTCCGAATAATCGATCTCTACATCAGTTACATTAAACGCAGAACAAACATCTTCAACGGAAGGCATACCTTTTAGAACAACAACACAAAAAGAAAAAAAATAAGAGTTTAGTTTATATATTTAATCAATTGAATAGATTTTAATTTTACCAGATGAGGATGGTTCCTTTTCCTTACTAGATTTTTCAACATCTTTCCGTTTACGTCCGCGCTTTGAAGTACTTGTGCTACCGCTGGCACCAGCGTTATATTCTGTGTCATCATCATGTTGCATAAAATCGCTATCATCATCACTTTCATTCTTCTTACGTTTTTTCTTCTTCCGACCCTTCTCCTCCCCCTTCTTAGTTTTACGCTTTTTACCTTTCTTCTTTTTTCGATTGTCTTCGGGATCATAATCATCATCTTCGTCGTTCTAATATATGAAGACTCATTAGTATATATATTAGCATATCTATTTTACGATGTAGAACTTACATTCGGTTTCAATGGAGCATCAGAGTCATTAGATAATTCTGCAACTTGTGCAGCACTTTCATCAATTGCTTCTTCTTCTTCTATAAATTATAAATATTTATGATATAATATATGACATAAACTTTAACCAACTTTTTTGTTCTGATACTTTTAACATGAACATATTTACGTGCAATAGTTATCGGCTTTACTTGAAGGTTGGAAATGACATTACAATTATATATAAACAAATAAATAATTTTTATAATTGTTTGGTTGTACTGTATTTTATTTCGAACTTGTCATTTACTAATGGAGAACACTTTAGTATTTAAATTTAAATTAAATATCATTAATGAAATAGTTCATCAATGTATGAATTAAATTTACTTATTGTTGCTATAGATCTTCAGTGGAGTTTTAAAATTTTGCCAATAGCACTTTCTAGAGAGGAACATTTAGCCTTTTCCACATTTGGAGCCGACCGAAGTGACCGATAGAATAAAACTAAATATAAACAAACAGCGAGGAACGAGATAATCAAATTTCTCTGTCTTATAGTTTACTATTATATATCCAAGTAAGTTAATAACACCATATGATACGGTTTTCAGTAGTAATATTTATACTATGCTCAGACACACTTTAATTTCACAAACATCTTAATTTCAACTTCGTTTCAGCGCATCTTTTTAAGCAAGAGATAAAGATAACGAGATAACGAAAAAGTGACATTTTTTTCAAATAATTGTCAATGACAGTTGACTTTAATACCTGAAATCCACTAAATATCAAGTATCTGAAATCCACTAAAGCTAATAAAACTACTGAATGCCATCCTTTATAATAATAATATTAAACTTTTAAAATTTCCAAGATACAAATGGTGTTTGGAGCATGTCATTTTTAACATTCGATTTGTAAATAAAAAAAATGATTTCCTTAATTTGGGGCAATACGAACACTTTCGAAATTAACTTAATTTAATTTTAACAAAATTAGGGAAATTTTGCTGTCTGAACATAGCATTAATCATTGATTCTGTTCAAAACCTAAAACATCTTTATCCACAAAAATTATTGACAACCTACCTACGACTACGAGTATATAATACTTCATTTAAATAAAAATTCAATATTAAATTTCAATTTTTTATTTGATTTTGTTTTCCTCAAATATATGTACTTTTTTTTTTTGCTTTTGTATTTGCTTATTTTATTTATATTACATACTAGAATATAACAATATCTTTTTTTTAAATGATTTTTTGCTGGTTTTGTCAGCGATTTTGCTCTGAATAGTTAATGCATATTTAATAATAATTGTAATATAATAATAATTAAGTTTTTAGGTTTTGCGTTTGCATGCAATTACGGTGTGTATATTAAAATCCTTTTCAAAATAACTCGTATTTATACCTATTCATTTATACAAAATTTTTCTAAATTATATTCATATGTATATATATAAACGCGTTTGTAAAAAAACTTTTTTTATATATTATGTCTTGTAAATTGGTTTTTACCCTCAATGAAGGTTATTATTGAGGCTTTTTAATTTTTGTTTTTAAGAGTATATTTATATATATATTTTTTTTTATTTTTTACTACTGTAAAAGCGAAGATTGTTTAGACTATTTTAAAACAAATTAAATTTTATTTATAAAAATAAATGACAACAAAATATTTAACAAATATTTTACAATTAAAAATTATTCCAATTATAACAGCAAATTCTCAAGTTATAATAATTATCAGTTATCGAAAAATGCGTGACATTTCATATGTTTTTTGTATGAAAAAGCCTAGAATCAAACAATATTTTTTTTCAGGAACCATTTTATTCTTAAGTTAAATTTAAATAGAAAGAAAATTTGACAAGTAATGCGTTATTCTCTAATTATTTTAGTTTATTTGAAAAGTTCATTTAGGTCTTTAGTCTCTATACAATTAGTATGTAGAAGGAAGTAAGAGAAATAGTACTTTATTTAAAGCTAATAGTACTTTTTTTTAAAGCAAATAGTACTACATTTATAGGTAATCAATAAAATGGCCATCACGACTAACAGAAAATCGTGATATTGTCGTTAATAGTTTTTTAATATTTAAAAACATTAGCTTATCCGTAACATAAATGTTACTGTCGACTTTTTATAGATGAGACATAACTGTTGTTATTGACTTTAACAATAAATACACATTGACATATGCAACACCAGATGATATGAACCTAACTCATATTAAATATATATAATTAAGAACAACCCCAAAATAAAAATACCTAGAAGAACTAAACTCTATAATCCAACAAATAAAATAAGAACAAATTATTTGATTTAAATTTATTACATAGTAAATTCTAAAAAAAAAAAACTAAATAATTAAAAAACAATATAAAAATAAGTAATTAAGGTTATATTTCTAGATGATTGCAAAGCATTGTAGTTTTTTTAAAATTCAGAGATATCAATATAGGGGAGCTACGAAAAAACTTATAACTTTATTATACTGTACTTATGGTAGCAGTACAAATTAAAAAAAATTAATTAATCGAGCTAGTGACATTTTATGGAATTTATGATTAAATAAAATAACAGTAAAAAAAATTTTAGAGCAATTATCATTAATAAAGTGGATGAGTAGTGCAAATTAAAATTTGAAGTTGCGTTCATTTGGATTTCAGTTATATATCACAATGGATATGAGCGATAAGGCACATAATGTGGTTAGTAATGCAACTATCTCATCTATATAAAAAATTAATGTACAAAAAAATTAATTATCACAATAATATAATATTTAAAAGAAAATCCAAATAACATAAACTATATAAATAAGGTGTATACAAAAAATGTCAGGCTACATATCAAATAAAACTCACATTAATTTTTAAGTAAAGTACTTCTCTTCATTCATAGAAATGGTCAATATTCGACTCAGTTCATACACAGCCGTTCTCAGATAAATGCTTCACTTACGCATGTTTTTGCGGTGTAAGTATACCCAGCATAAATTCAGTTTTTGGGAAGGAAACAAAACAAATTTCCAGAACTGAGTTGCAACCAAAAAGAAAAGTGCTAACTAACCGCAATATAAAACCCTAAAGGGGAAAATTTCTGAAGAACAATTTAAATGTAACAAATATGTGGGTAATTTATTATAATATATAAAATATATTATAATACATATCATAATATATAAAATAATATTATATTATAATATATAATATATATTATAATATATAAAATATATTATAATATATAAAATATATTATAATATATAAAATATATTATAATATATATAAAATAGATTATAACATATAAAATATATTATAATATATAAAATATAGGCTAAGTTAGGATGGCCCAAAGTCACATGAAGCTTAAATAATGGCCAGTTATGAAACTACTGATCACAATGATCAGCGTACGAGCGACGTCGAAACACAGGACTCCCTAATTTAAGTGAAAATAAGCGAATCTTCTAATAAGTCTATAAACTTAGCCAAATCACTAATTTTGCAGCCCTATAAAACAGGTAGTAAAATTCACCCGGAAGATTTTCCATATTTCTCTAGCCAATGATGGACACTAAACACGGGATAGAGCAGTTTCCTACTCATTCGTAAACCTACAACCTTGATAAATCTCATTATAGGGTAGACCCAACCTTATAGCACATAATAACCTGTCAGTTTTAATATTGCAGTGCTGAGCAGGTTTACACCAAAGTTGAAACAGCTGATTGGAGCGTTTCTCACGAAATCAGAAAATTAAATAATAGAGTAACAATTTTCAGTTTTGATAAATTATGCACAATTATGAGTGTTAATTGAAGTCATTATAACAAAAAACAAAATGCATATACATCTGCATATATTTTTAAAAAATATACACATATTGTATTTAGACACATATGCTCTGATATTTCATTTCATTCAATTTTAATGATTAATGTAATATTTGTTATTTTAAATTTTTTTCAGTGCATTTTTATGGCATTGCATGGATAGTAACCATTCATTATATACGAAGTTGGAAAATAGAGCTATTGTATTATAATATATTTATGAAATATATTGATTGAATTAGAAATTAATTCACAATATAAATATATGCTATAAATATAACTGTTAAAAATTTTTCGATCTCTATTATACAATATTCCACGCTACTGACTATCCTACTAAGCTTCAATTCTGGATGTCTTCTTAATTATTATATATCAATATTGTATTCAGTGTTAATGTTTGCATAAAAAGATTTTAAATATTAAAAGTAAAGGCGAGTTTTTTAATGTTTAGAAATAATAAATTTTGGCAAATTATCTCGTGATATGTTAGTTTTGTTTTGCATTAAAATTAAAAATCAGCAGTTTGAATATCTGAATAACACAATAAAGTATAATATTCTTCCCAAATAAGTTCCTAAAGCCTATTTTTCTCTTTCTTATTTGTAATTTTTAAATAGTACATAATATATTTCGGTTATAGCTTTTTCATTAACCCATTGCGTGTAAATTTGTCACATATGTACGTTTCTATTATATATATATATATTTATATATATTGTTTATACAATTTATTTTTAAATTCAAATATATTTTTGTTTCATTTTGTTAACATACTTTTTTGCTTTTTATTTAACAGTAAGTAATTGTAGTTGACTTAAAATTAATTTCATATAAAATAAAATTGTGTAATAATTAGATTAAACATGGAATATATCCAGTTTAGAACAGTCACTCATTTATTACAACATGTAAGTTGCATATAGTTGGAATTTTTTACATAATTAATTTTTCGGCAATAAATTATATGTAAATAAAAACTAAATAACTAAATTTTAAAGTAAAAATATTAAAACAGGAAATTATAGATATTCAAGTATAAAATCATAAATTAATTTAAATATTTAATCTAATAAAAAGTATATAATAAATATAAAATGATAGAAAAAATTTTTTTTTATTAAATTAAACAAATAAATTAAATAACAAATTAAAAACATAATGAAATAGTTTAGTGTAAATGAAAAAAAAATTACTCTTCTAAAAAAAAATAAAAAATAAAGTGCATAAATACATAAAAATTATATAATATATAAAAATAAAATACATAAAAATAAAATACATAAAAATAAAATAAATATAAATAAAAATAAAAAATGAAAAAATAAAAATAAAATATGTAAAAATAAAAATAAAATATATAAAAATAATATGTATAAAAATAAAATTAAAATATATAAAAATAAAATTAAAATATATAAAAATAAAATATACAAACATAAAAATAAAATATATAAAAATAAAATTAAAATATATAAAAATAAAATATACAAACATAAAAATAAAATATATAAAAATAAAACACATAAAAATAAAATATGTAAAAATAAAATATATAAAAATAAAATATGTAAAAATAAAAATAAAATATATAAAAATAAAATACAATAAAATAAAATATATAAAAATAAGATATATAAAAATATATATAAAAATATATATAAAAATATATATAAAAATACCAATAAAAAACTTAAAAAAATAAATAAAAAAATATATAAATTTGTTTAGAAATATAACAAAAATTTTGTCTAAAAATTTATAAAGAAAACATTTTTAAATAATTTAATTGTAAACATTACAAATTATATTACACATAAAAAATATTTTTTTTTAATTGAAATTCTTCTGTTAAGGCTTTTTATAATCGAATAAAAAGAAAGTTAATAAAATATTGGTAAGAAAAAGCATAAAATATATAACCATTCAAAAGACAAAGATTTTTAATAAATATAATTAAAACGATATTAAAATAGTTATTTAAAATTAGAAATGATTATTTATCCTCAAACTTATATTCTTTGCAAATAATAGGCAAGATGTTTTCATGACTTGCATATATACATTTTTGGCTACATAAATAAAACAACTTATTTAAATTTTTTTTTTTCAATTTATAAAAATTGCACAGCTTTTTATTTTTAATAACCAACGTTTTAAAAATATCCGACATTTTACATTAATAGAAAAATAAAAAGCTATTTAACAAAACCTACATTATTACTTTAAATTACTGTTTGTTTTTAGTTTTTTATATAATAATAATGCTTAATTCTAATTATTACACAATTGCTATTAACAAATGTTTTATAAAAAATTATTGTATAATGTTTTTTATATGGTATATTTTATATACATGCAATAAGTTTTAAAACTAGTAAAAAAATAATCCGCATTAGGATTGCTTTATATATTTATATATGTATATATAAATATATTTCATTACACATATATATTTATTATAACAATTTTCTTTTAAATTTCTATAATTTTTGTTTGCATGTTTTTATAATTGCTGTTAATGGTCATCATCTTCATAATTCGATTCATCATCGTCTTCATCGTCGTTATCGTTTGAGTCAGACGAATCATCAGACGAATCTGAATCATTGTGGGTATTATAGATTGTTTGCGAGGGAGACGATTGCGATGCAAGACGAATATTGTTAAGTTGATCGTTATGTATCGTTTCAACGTCATGGTGCTCATAACGCGTACTTTGTTGTTGAAACTGTGAGTGGTATTGATGAGATAGTGGTGGCGAGTTACTCTCACTACTGCCGACCATTGGGGAAAGACGTGTATTTCGTGACATAAAAATAATATTATCAGTATTAGCATTAGAGTTTGATTGTTGCGAAGAGTTTGTATGGTGATCAGCCGAAATATTATTATTATCCATAGTTCCATTTACATTACCATTGGTCAAAGTCTTATCATAGTCACTTACTAATTGTTTAATATAAGCCAATTTGGCGTGTAGATAATTAAAACGGCGTTTTTCCTCTTGAACCGTTACTTCATTAACAATTCTGGAGTATTCGGCAATTATTTGCTCTTTTATTCTTCCATAATCAGCACAGTCTTGAGGTGTGTTATCCAATTGATCAGCTAGTCCTCTAAAACGTAAATTTACAGCAGTAATTCGATCCAACAAACTGCGATATTCTTTGAAATCTCTTTCGAAATCAGTCTTATATCGTCGTCGCTCTTCAATGCTAGTTATAGCTTGATAATGGTCGAAATTATAACTTGGTGTCTCTAAATTATCATCGGAAGGCATTGAAGTATATGATGACACAGCTTTGGCAATTTCTTGTGTTGGTGAACAATGCTGTTGTGTGTTTTGCCTGGTTTGAAACGTATGCTCTTGACTAAATTCCTGTTGTGTATTAGAACATGACAACATATTTTCTGGCTGTTGGTAGATCCGTTGTAGCGATAATGGAGGCGTTGGAGGTCTTTTTGATCTGCTATTAGATTTTGTTGTCTGTTGATGTTTTAATATGTTACCTCGATTTGTGGAAATATTAGATTCTTCCAATGGATTAGTTGGAATATGCATCTTAGGCGAATGATGGTTAGATAATTTGTGATGTTGCTGTTTATTGTTATGCTGTTGCTGGTGTTGTTGTTGTTGTTGCTGCTGTTGTTGTTGATAATGCTGCTGCTGTTGTTGTTGTGGATGGTGCTGCTGCTGCGGCTGTTGTTGTTGTTGTTGAAAAGCAGGCGATTGGCGTGGAAATGCATTTGTTATATTATTACTATTGCGGTCGCTTTTCGATTTAGATTCTGGTACAAAATTATTACCATATGGCAATGGAGAGCTTTTTGAAACTTTAGATTTTGTTTCGTTATTGTAATTGTATGATGTATTTGAGAAGTTACTACTGCTGCCTGAACCACGTTTATCTCTAGTGAAGTCCGCATTTTTATTTACTTGTACATTATTTACAGCATTGGCATTTGTTTTTCTATTATTATTAGTTACTCGACTTGTAGTGTTGCTAAAATAACTATTTCCATGATCAATATTGGACATAAAGTCATCAGCATTATCTAATATGCCATAATTTAAATCAGAATTTCCAGAATTCTCATCTACTGTTTGTGTATTACTACCACTCAGTGGTGAAAATAATGTCGATTTTCCTATTTGAGCGCCTTGATTTACATTGCCATAATTCAAACGCACTGCATTATAATTACTACTACCCGCTGTATCCTTTTTAAAATGGCTTATTCGTTGTTTTTTTGGTTGCACGCCAGTACTATAGTTGTCATCGTAATTATCTAGACTAGTACGTTTTAAATTACCATTTACACCATTTCCAACTAAAGGTGGAGGACTACCTGTATGAGTTGAGGTTGGACTTTGGCCAGACGTTGAACTGCCAGCATCAGAACTGACTGGCGGTGTTAAGTTTTGTGGTTTTCTACGTTTTAATTGTTGTAGTTCCTGTTCTGTGTAATATGGCCAATTTTCATTAACATCATTCCAGATCTGCCTACGTAAGTTGTAAGTATTATCGCGTGACATTACAGCTATATCTTTCAAAATGGTGCTTACGATGGAACGTTCTCTATCTTTAATACCTTCATTTCGTAAACGATCATATAACTCTGGTTTTTTAAATGGCTTTAAGGCAAGCAGATGTACCAGTCTTTCACGTATTTTTCGTCTAGAAATATCAGGCAATTTACTGTTTCCTGTAGTTGTATTACTTGTACCCTTGCCAATTATTTGATCTTTTGTACCAATATTCCCGTTTCCGCGCTGATTTGCGTTTGTACCGGATAAGTGATTGTTTCCATTGGCTATTTTTGATTTACTAGCTGTTGATGATTCATTTGGAGAACCAGTAAAAGCATAACCATTAGAAACGCCAAAAGCAAGAGCAGATGAAAGAGAAGCAGCAGATGTTAATGATGAAGTATTGTTTTGAGAATAGAGACCTGACGATGTACCTGACGACGACGTAGAATTATGACTACCGTAACGAGAGTTGGTACTATTACTATTTATCGCATTCAATCCTGCACCTGTAGTATTTGGAGAAGATCGGGAGGACGTTATGTTACTAAATTTTGAGTTACCACCACCACCACTAATAGTTGTAGCATGCAATGGCGAAGAATTATTTAATGATCCTAATTTATTACGATTGATGCTTTTGCTTACAAAACTACTACTGTTATTATTATTATTTTGATTGAATGATGACGCTGGTTTCTTCACCTTACGGCCAATATCGGTTTGATTTGGTTTTATTTCACGAATACATTTACTTTTCTCCGTCTCCTCAGCGATGGCCATTTTAGTGCGTGTTGTATCATAAATGTCATCATTAGCTTGTATCCGCATGCGATAGGACAAGGAACCGAGTACGTCGAGCTCATTTTGTTGCTGCTGTATACATTCAAGAGAACCTTCGACATCATCGATAGCAAAACCAAATTTTCTACCTTCACCATTATTTGGCGTAGGTATGTCAATAACCCCAGAGTTACCAATGAATTTGATGGTAGCACATTGTCCATTTCCAAAGCAGGTAGAATTTCTATTACGTTGATATTCTTCTACGGCGCGAAATGCGGAATCAGTTAGCTTTACAAATATATATTCTTTAGTTTCATCGGTAAATCGATTTTGTGACATTCCATAGTTTCCAGACGATAGAGCAGGGCATTTTGCAGAAGCGATAGAATTTGTCATAACGCAATGCAAATAAAAATTATATTTAAAGAAAATCACTTGCCAGTCCTGTTCGGTTGGAAGATATTCAACGTAAATATATTTATTGTGGGAAGTAAAAAAGTATTTGGAAGAATTGGAGTTGTTGTTTTTTGGCCGTTAATGTTGTTTATGTTTTTAAAGTGACGTATTTCTGGACTGGATTGATGTCGATGGAACAATTATATACTTTTATTTTATATCTTATTATGTAGTTATGTTTAGTTATTGCTAGCAATCGTTGTTTTCTTCTTTTTTTAGGAATTGAAATTTGCAGTGCAAGAACTTATTTTTAGAATCTTGTACGACGTATAAGTAACTGGAGTTTTTTTTTTATAGGATTTTATTTTACTTTATAGATATTTACTGCAAATGCAAGTTCATTAATTATTTTAAATTAACAGTCTATTTTATTTACTCACTGTTTTATTTGCTTCGTTTTTTTTTAGTAATAATTGGAATTTTTGGGATCCTACAATTTTCTCTTCCGCATTAGTAAAAACAAAAAACTTTTTTAAGAAATTTGACGATGCAGTAGAGTAGCGGATAGGCACGTCAATATTAATTTTTTAATTTTCAACTGGGTATATAATATAAGTGATTCTTTTTCAAATGGAATTTCCTTAGTTTAATTCGCTTATGTATTTACACGCACACACACATATACAGTTCATTAGCTATATATTTAATATAAAAGCTTTCTTTTCACAAATAACTTGTTTATTATTTTGTAGTATAATGTATATATTTATTTTCAATAAATAATAAAATTTATATTTGCGTAGATGATAACTAGATGATGAGCGCAGAGATTTGATTCCGTTTGCGAATTGTATTAAACATAGAACGAACAGATTCTTTTGTCACTGATAACTGTAGGTAAATCGTTTACGTCCTTAAATTATTTCTTAAGATTTACTGTTTATAAATAAGAAATAAAATAGTTTCTTTTTTTAAAATAAGAATATTTAATTAGGTTAAGGTAGGCATGGATTTTACTCGGCTGCTGCTGCAGTGTGTTGCTTTTAACTGTTGCTGCCTGCCTGTCACTACTACCAAAATATAACTTAGTCGTTGTATTGTGGCATTAATGCATACGAACTAAAAAGAGACAACTATATATTTTTTGTACGCTTGTCGTTCTCCTTTTTGCTTTGCTTGGGACTCAATATTTGTTTTTGCTAAAATCATCTGTGTAAGTTGTTTTGTGGTATTTTTGTGCACACACTTGTAGATTTTCTGTTTTACAATTTGTTGGGTATTTTTTCGTTGATTATTCGTCAACACTTAAATGTGTAATTTATTAATTAATTTTTCACTTATATATTATATATATTACATATAATTTTAATTTTAAATTTAAGTTATCGATATTACTAGTGATAATTTTTATATATCTGCCAAATATCACTTTTTCTCTTTCTTTCCTTCTCTTTTTATATCACATTGTGTAGACAATTAATTTCAAGGTATTTTTTTAATCAAATCGTATCTGGTTTAATGAAATCGAAACGAGTCGTCAGTCGCTTTCAAGTGTTGCTGCGCTGCCTGCTTTAGTTTCAATATTTTAATTTTTGGTACGTGCGTTGTTCGTATCACTTGTTGTTTGTATAACTGCTATTGTAACGAAAAAAAAAAACAACAAAAAAATAAAAAAAACAAGTTTGCAATTTGCGTTTATCTCTTTCAAGCTTGTTTGTGTCGTATTTATCTTTTTCCTTATTATCTTTTTAAACAACTCTCATAAAATTGGTATAGTATACGTTGCTTATGTGTGTAGGTAAATATTTCACGAAATTAGATGAAGAAAAAAAAAAACAAATTGATCGTAGACCTGTAGGCTGTTTATTATGACTTAAATATATGGCGATTTGACGGGGAATTGTATGATTATAATAATTTTCAATTTTCTTTTTTCTTTTATAGTTTGTTTAAATTTCTTACGTTCTTTGCTGCTCGTACTCGTACTTGTTGTATTCGTATCAATACAAACCAACCTTATATTATACTAATTTATACTAATTAATAGTTGCACTTTGTATACAGATTTTGGTAGAATTTAGCTGCTTTTTCTTTTATTTTCTATTTAGTGATTTCCACTATATTGATCCTGACGACGTTACGTTGACTTTTAGATGCTGGGGGTGGCTGGGAAGACCTCGAAGTTTATTCATTTATAAGTACGTATTTTACATATAATATATATTTTCTGTATAGTGCTATCTATATACACATGTGCTTATATTTGTACGTTTATGTGATTTTAGTATATTTTCGGTTTTATTTATTTTATATGTGTATGGAACGAGAAACGCGTATACTCAATACGAATATAATTAACTTTCAATTCGTTTGTTGTTTCTTTCAATGATGATTTTCTGGTTCGATGTTGTTTTGTTGTTGACGTGTTTAAACCATATTTTTTTTTTTTTTTCAAATATGAATTTTATATACTTATCATAAAATTTTAAAACTAAAATATTTAAATTTCTGTTTGCTGTCTTTTAATGTTATGTTGAAATTTATGAAAACTGTTTCTGAAAAATTAAAAAACGTAAAATTTAGGAAACATTTTAAAAATTTTCAACAAACTTACATTTACAATTTTAAATGCTCCCGTATAACTATATTCTGTATCCTTCCCGATGTTCACACATTGACGAATTCTCTTATAACGCTTTTATATTTAGAATTTAGACAAACGAGGTTCATCAATTGTGTTTTTGCAACCAGTTGATCTACAAAGAGGTCACAGTGATGATGATGTTGATGATGTCTTTATTACCAAATATGTTAACGTTTTTTTACTCGTCGTTGCAATAATATTTTGCTATATCTTCTCTTCTTCTTCAGTTGGTCTCGGACGAAAATAGTTTCTTAATTAAATTAAATGATTGTTGGCTGATGATAAACACTTTTATTCAATTTATATGCGTCGTGTGCCTATATAAAGTGCTTATATTGTTTTTGTGACTTCGATATTATTTATCTAATTAAAAATAACAAATATCGTAAATATTTGATTTAACTTTTCTTCATACGTTCCCATATTTATGTCGCTAGCTTCTTATTCGTGTCTTTTTTTTTTTTTTTCTTTAACTTTTTCCAAGCACTCGCGTTGTAGTCTTTAGTCTTTCACTATGTATTTTGTCTTATAATTTTTTCCCCCACAAGATACATTTATTTTTACACATTTTTTCTTTTCTTTGTTCTGTTATTATTCAACAAATGTCGCTCAGCTGATTCTTATTGCACGTCTGCTTTGGTCAGCTGCTTTTCTCAATTTTTATCTCTCTTTCCAACTCTTGGCTTTCGCACCCGATCAATCGCGATTTTTGTTACCACTGCACGTAGTTTTATTTTATTTTATTTTATTTTTTTATTGCATTCGTACCATATTTTTACATGTCTTTCTTCATTTTAAACTGGTGTGTATGCACAGTTGCTTTTAATATAATACAATAATTTTTATTAGTGTTACATATTTATTTTTTCATAAGTAACTTAAAAACGGGAAAAAACCAAACTTGTGCATTCATTAAACTTTATATTCATTTATTTTTAAACAATATATTTTTTATATACAATCATCAAGTCGTCAGTCAATGCTTTCGAGAAGTTCGCAACTCAGCATTTTTTTTTTTTTTTGATTTTTTTTCTCAATAATTGTTTTATAACGACAAAATATTTTCACGATTTTATTTTGTTCTTATAAAAACTCTATTTAATATATTTCACTTTTTTTTTATTTATTTATTTGAAAGTTATTTAGTAATAATAAATTATATATTCTTGGAACACCGTGTAATTTTTCCCTCAACCAGCACTCTATGTACCTGTCAAATTTAAAACGGACTTTTGACCTGTAGTGATCTTTTTTACTATTTAATATACGAATTGCGCTTCATGTTTTTAAGGCTATAAAAATTAGAAATACCCATGACGACGATTGAGACAGAGTCAAATGAATGGACAGACAAACACATTTATTTTTTAATATTAAAATAATACTAAAATATTGTTGAAATTCAGTGTTTTGAATAAGTTCAAATATATAACAATTTTATAATTAATTGTTCCGAAACATCAAGTAGTTTTAAGTTAAATAAATATATAGCAAAAAACGGAAAAGTAAGATTTATCATCAAATATTACTATAATTATGAAACAGGGATAGTACACTGCGATCTAAAAGATCTATTGTGCCAGCTGTCATCATATAATAATACGTTCCAAAAAATTGCAAGAAACCAAGAAACTCGAGACTATAAGTCTAAGTCACTTACCGACTGACTACGAATTATCTTCACTTAATAATTTTAAAACGCTTTGAAATTTCTTCACAGTATAGCACCATTTGTCATATTTTCCCCAATACAAAAATATATACAATATAAAATTTATTTATATAATAAATTAATATTAAATTTATAATTTTATTTATAAATATTATATAAATAAATTTTATTATATATTCTATTATTTTACTCCACAATATATCAATATATTAGTGCTCAATTTAGCAAGTTAAGTTTATTTAGCAGTGTCTGTCCCTCTATTATATTTACCTGCAATGGACTCAGTTTTTGAACTCCTTTACAAAGGGTTTTTTGTCTTTAATGATATTTAATGTGAAAAATAACCTTAAGCAAAAAAAGTGATCAAATCAATACTATATACACTTTAAATGTCACAGCTGTCATTTTTTTTCAGATACCTGACAAAATTGTATTTGTGTATACTAAAGATACACAGTTTAATGGTCCATTTCTATGGTTCAAATTTTTTACATAAAATATTAAATATTTACGGTTAACATAACCTATTATCTCCAGAACTTACTATTTAAAATCAAAATAAAAACTTCTGCTCAAATGATTTGATTCTTAGGAATCAAACCTGTCAAAAACTTAAATGTAATAATGAAAATATCGATACTGAGATCCTCCTAAGTGCGTATACAAATCGAAAACAATCAATTAGACGTCATTTTCAAGATCAAATCAAGGTGTATACAATATAGTTGACCTTGAACCAAATGACTTTTATTGCGTAGATATTGTGTTTCGCAGATTGAGGTTTGCAATAATATGAAACAGATCAATTATTTCATGGAAAATAAAATATCTTTAACGATAAGTTCAATTATAGTAAATGACATAGGTCTAGATTTACAAAAATTGACAGTTTGTTATGGAGATTAATACAGATTAGTGCAGACTAGGGAACCATGCTAAAAGATCATACCTATCGCAGCTGTGGGGAAGAAGATGAAAATGCTTTCCATCTACTCCTCTTTACCCAGTTTAGTGCATGGCGGCCACTCAATATTTTAGGACCCATCTTTTCCTTGACGATCTTAATCAATTACAAGACCTTCCACTAAACAACACTCTAAGCTTCGCCACAGTTTTTAGGTGGTTTTAAATTTTGAATTTTCTCTATAACATAAACTATGGAGATTAAAAGACCCGTATATTTTCAAAATTCTCCCGTCTTTGGAGAATTCTATGGAAACATGATTTCTAATTTTTGGTGGCATGATTTAGGGGACTCCAACTATGACAATATGTAGTTATATTATGACAAAATTATAAGTCTTATAAAACAGTTAGCTTATTATCAGAAAAATTAAAACTTAATTGCTTTTATTTAAACAAGTTTTAAAAATTTCAACAGTACCATTGGATCTGTTAGATTCGAGTAAGTGTTGAGTTTTTAGTTTTTTAAGTAAATGGTAAGCTATATCAACGAAAGTATCAACAAAACTAAAGCTAACTTAGTTTTACTAATTTACGTTCTTATATTTGGCATATTAAGAAAAGCTGGAATCAACTTATTATTATTATTTATAGGCATTAAAATCCACATATTTAACTATAAATGAAAAATAAAAGAACGCATTTTACGCATAGTTTGGTCTAAAGATAGTTTATCCTATTTAAATATTTAAGAAACAATTTTTAACAATTATTTCGGAGATAATATAATTTATTCTTAAACAAAATTGAATAAATTTTCATTCCTGCATGAAGAAATAAAACCATAGCAAGGCTATATAGATTTTAATGTAATATATTGTTAATATACTATAGAGTAAAAAATAATCCTACACAGATTAGATATATCTCACGTTTCGAAAATTTCTTTTCTTAAATAGTAATAAAAAAAAAAAAGTTTTAAATAAGAATAAAAAATAATATTTTCTATCTAATATTTTCACCTCTGAAGAATCTTCTAAAAGCAGTTTCTATATCACATTAACCATACCTTCGTGAATTGTATGTTAAGTATATGTTACATTTCTTATGTAATATTATCACGCCATAAATATACATAAATATAATATGTCTTTCACAATGGCTAATGTTGGATTTATTATTAAACAGAGAAAAAAAAAGTAACTTATGTGATTGTTTGTAAATTCATCATCTTATACGGTCTTCTGACAAAGCTTTGTCTATGGCTGCACTTACATGTTGAACTAGTTTGGATGTATGTTTGGAACAAATCTTGAAAGAGTTACGTTTTCAATTACACATAGTATTTTTACTCCTTCCTTTAAAAATACATATGAGCCATATGACAAATAGTCATGGCAAGTGTTTCAAAGAGTCATATCACAAATGTCAATTTTGTACTTTTACTAATATTTTGGCTAAATGCTAATATTTTTTATATGTATGTGCTTATATATCCACACAAAAATACTCTATTACGCCCATTTCATGCAGAAAGTCATGGGCACGTCAAAATTAAAATTGTTGTTGTTGAAAAAAAAAATGTCAGTTTAAATTTGGTCGTGATAACGAGGCTTTGTGTACCTCGTTACGTTAGTCAAAACAGTGTTTCTGCTCAATAATAAATATTATAATTTGCGCCTTTTAGGAACAAATTACTACAATTTTAATATAGTTTGGAGAAAAAAAATACCAGGAAGCAACACACCCAAGAGGTCATATGCCACTAATCGAATTCTTACATTTTCCCGGTTTTAACGAAAGACATATAATTTTGTAAGAATTGTTAACAATTACTATAATATAATAATAAATTAACATTTTTACAACTTCTATGAGTGTTTGATGCTGTTCATTTATGGTGTGAAATTGTAAGTGACCATATCTACTTTTTTTTTTTTAAATTTAGGCACACTTAAAAAAGAACAATAGTAGTAGTAAAAATCGGAAATGAACAATACTGATATGACTCTTCGCCTAACATGCATTTTAGACATGACCAAAAAGCGTCAATTTTGACGTGCCCATGACTTTCTGCATAACATATCCTTTTCAGCAAGCCTTGCAATCGCGTCTAAATTATAATCAATGCTCTTATATAAATATCAAAACTTTCTTCCTGCGACTACCAACAGTTTACGTTTTTAATTTCCTCGAAGTCATTTGAGAAATAAAAAAAAAAATCCTGCAACATCATAAATTTAATAAGTTTAAAATTTAATAGAAGAGTTAGTAATCAAGTCAAGTCACACATGGTTACACAGAAGAGTTGTTATTGTTGTTGTTGTAACCCGTTGGGACCTGTAAGCAGTAGGTAGGTAATGGTTGGGGAAAATGAAGTGGGAGAAGAGAATGGGGACACAGAAGAATCATTCCTGACGCCAAAAAAGTAGTGCACTACATCAGTTTAAAGAAAATCTCAGATAATATAGTGAAGTTTATATGTATTATTGACTCGAAGCGAAGTAGTAAATTGTCTAAAAGAATTGTATAATTTCTCAATGTTCCCGGATTACTTTTGCTTCTGTTCGGAACATGCGCGGTACCGCATTAACACTCTCAAGTCTTTTTTTTTTTAAGGATATTGGCGAACTGCAAGACCTCCCTCTAAATAGCATTATAAGCTTTAAAAAAAAGGTTCTAAGTGGTTTTAACCATTTGGTTTTTAATTATACGGTAGCACAATGGGCCTACAGGCGTAAATGGATCCCTTAGGATCTGATATAAACCTCAAGACTAAGCCACTGTG